CATAGGCAGCTGCAATGTGTCAGAGCTTAAGCCCAAGTGCCACACGACAGGGCGCGCGGGGCGCGCCAACGCCGCGTCCCACCTGGGGTTCGGGCTGGGGCAAGGGTGCAGTTCTATTCCTCTGCAAATTAACATGAAACCACAAAAACAACCCCCCCAAAACGGAGGTCCCTCGACCAATTGTGTAATCTGCAGGGGAGAAAGTTCACAAGTGAACTAAACCATATGAAGCTCTGAACATCACAAAGGCGTTCAACTAGCAAACCAACGAATAAACCTGTCACAAAGGCCATCAACCTGTGTCCTCATGCTGATCGGAGTTGTACAAACCACTGCCTGATTGCCTAACGTTGAATAGAGGAACCCTCACCATTCGAGGGAAGCACCCCATGATTCTGCGAGGTGTATTGCTCTCGGGTCAACAGCGCAGGATGTGCAAGACTCGACTCTACTCCGAGTTGTCATGGCCCCTGACTGATACAGGGGTCCCTTGTTGGGTCGGTTGGCTCTTGGATTCAGGATCAGCAACAGGAACCACCTGCCACTGGTTGAGCCAGTAGGCGGTATGGGGCTCCCAGAATGGATCACTCAAGGATTTCTTCTTGCCACCATTTTCGATTGGGAGTCGCATCACCCTACGTTCCCAGTGTTGAAAACTGAACGATGAAGGCCAACAAATATCTGGCAAGGAATCACGCCAGCAGAAGCAAGGCAATAGGTCTCGCTCTTTCTCAGTTTCCGGCTGGCAACTTACAAGCAGAAAAAACAAAAAGCACGCTCTTGTTTTTGCTAGCCACCTTAGGCTGCAAACTGGAAAACTGCAAAGTGTTCCAGCTGGTAACTGAGGTAAACAATTATCCTGTAGAAAAGGTGGCCATCATCCTCTATATGCGTAAGACAAAGCCTGGGATTTAATTTAAAGGGCAAAGCTGTGCGATGGGTACCAGGTGTCGTGTCCGTACTCGTTGGTCTGGTTGTAATCAGCAGCTTCCTCGGTCCTTCCTTTCAAATTGGTGTCAAACCAGGGGGACCCACAGCATGTATTCCTGAGAAACAAAAAATACGATCTTAGGCTTGCTGTCTTGGGCCACAGGATCAAACAGATTTAGCTATAGGTAGGGCTTGTGGCTGAAGAAGGCGCAACTGCGGCGCAACATGTTTTTCTTGGACCCCCAACTTACAGACTTGGCCTTTGGTTTCCCTTTCAAACCATCCAGAAAAGGGTCATTTTTGTCAAACAGCACACGCACACACACACACACAAGCATGTTTAAACCTCACCTTGACAATTTGAAGGCAGCTTAATACTGTTCATTTTGGTGGTCATTGTGAACCAACAAGCTTTAGGCTGGTGGTTGGACACTGACCTTTTCAGCCAACAACATGTAGGGCAATGGCAGGAAACCGCAATTGTCATGCAACAAATAAGCGAAGGAAAGCTACTCCCAGCTTCCCCCCATCCGCGATTTCTTGAGGCCCCGGGCGCATGGCTCTCAGACCATGCCTGGCGGTTTGATTTGGTCTTTGGTTTCACGTCCGAGCCGAAGAAATCCTGGAACTGCTTCTAGGTCCTCCAGTAGAGAGGTTAGAATAAGTTGGTACCCGATGTTTTTCTATAGTCTATTTTAGTAGGGGAACCCTCCCCCCAAAAAGGGGAGAGAAGGGCACTACTGGCGAGCCTAGGCTTGCTTGGCACCAAAACGAAAAATGGTTCAGACCAGGAACTTGGGGACTAAGGGGTCATAAACCATATCCGATCCAGGGGGCTTATAATTAACCCCCTTACCCTTAAATCAAAGGAAGCCAGGTTTCAGGCAAGCAAACATAGAAGCAACCACAAAGACGGGTCCATTCCCCCCAAAGGGTATTCCTCTTGAAATGTTTTTTGTAACGCAAAACCTCCAGAAACCACCTGCTCTGCAAGGGACCCTCTAAATCAGCTGGTGCAGCTGACGGATTCTCTGGCCCAAATCTACGGTAGATTGGGTTCCCCCCCTAGGTCCTCCAGTAGAGAGGCTAGAATACGGGTATCATTTTTCCTGTAGTCAATTTTAGTAGGGGAACCCTCCCCAAAAAAGGGTAAAAGGGCACTACAGGGGGACCTCGCCCCATTTTGGAGTCCTTTCGGGAACGCTGGACTTTGCCTCGTAGAATCCCAGTGCTTGCCTTTTCCAAGGACATCATCCAACCCCCACGGTCTCCTAAACAGGCACCCTTTGCCAACCCCGTTTTGAGATGATGGTAGTCTCCCGGGCAGTCCATTTGCTCACGTCCGTGTCTGAAGCCAGACTCGAAAGCGTCGGAATGTGCATTTCCTGCGTTGGAAGCCTTTCGGATGGTGCATCCACTGATGAAGCCACCTTTTTGGGGATGCCATTGGGGTTGATTTCGGGGCCCTTGGGATTGATTTTTGGGGTCTTCAACCATCCAGGAGTTTGTGGTTATCTCCCTTTATGGAGACAAGCCTGTATTATTGGAAAACTGATTTACCACCATGAATTGTGGAATAGTTATGCAAGCACGTGAGCCCGTTGGCTTGTGTTCATCAAGAAAACGCAGCCAACCAGCCTGATTTGAGGATTCACCATGTTTGGACCCCCCCATGTCAAATTCTCACAAGCAAAGCTCATCTGTGCCTGCTCTGGCTCAAAGCTTCGCAAGCCTTCCCAACATGTGGATGGTCTGGAACGTGGCCCATAGCGTCGAAAAGGCATGAATCTGGGTGATATGCAATATTGAACCAGCCATCCCGGCTAATGGAAGGATCCGTCATGTTTCGGCCCTCAGTCCACTTTGCCCACACCTACTCACGTTAGTTGGGCAGACGCCTTTACTTGCTGGTGCTACAGGCAGGGAATGAGAAATGGAACGACCCCGAGATAAACCATCCAAGTGGTGTTTTTGTTTCTTTTTCTGGGGACCAAAACCTGGGTTCATTCCCACATTCCCTGCCTATATCGCACCGATCGCAAGTTCAAACCGCGCCGGTTGGTTCCCTTTCTCAGGGCCCTCGCCTGCAATGAGCGGGGCCGAATCAGGACGCACCTCAGCGCAGGCGGCATCCATCCGCTTGCTTTACTCGTTGGCCAGAAGGGGTTCAGCCTGGTCGTTACGTGCGCAGGTATGTTGATACCCAGCCCCAAGCGAAAGCCGGGGCTTCTGCAGGCGGCACAACCCTCAAAGTAGCTGTTTGTCTGCAGGGCAGCTGCTGCAAGTCTCCAGCATGCACCAGACTTCATGCACGCCTGAAATGGGGGGGTAATCCAGGTGCGAGTTGGTCAGAGAAAGGCACACCACAACCACTAGCATGTGAGGGGGTATCTTCTTTTTAGGGTAACCCCAAACTCATTGTTTGCATTTTGGTTGCCCTTTAAAAAATCAACGTCTTCTTTTATTGAGGGTACCCCCCAAAAAACTAATGGTGCTCCTTTTGGCTTCCCTTTAAAAACCAACGAAAGGGGGCTCCCAGACAAAAGACACACCCACGTGTGCGGTCTTGGCAAAAAAAAAGAAGCCAGGGGCGCCTTTCTGGCACTCTGTTCTGGCGCCGCCTAAGGTTGGACGAAGCCCAAGGTTCGCAAAGTCTTGGAACCAAGTTCTAAGTTGATTCTTGGCCGTTCCTCAGTTTCCCTGCTAACAGCTTAACTTCCCAAACAAACCAAAAACCCAAAACCTAAGGAATCGCTGGGAACCGCCAAGGATTGCACAGGTTTCTCCCGATCTCGGAAACAAGTTGTTCACAGCTCGGTGTCCCCGCACGATTCGCGCTTCACTGCGCGGACCGCGCGGACCCGATTGGAGCTGCAGCCGAAAGTTACATGTGCACGGTTGAAAACCGTGCGCGCGCGCCAAATGGGTATGGGTCAAACTTGAACCACCAGAAAAGCGCAGGTTTGAGTCCTTGTTTCCATTTATCAGGGCTCCATTTGGGGTTACCCTATCTTTGAGCCACACCCACATGTTCAACAGATACCCTCCAACAATCACGAAAGTGGGTTCTGGGGCCTCTCCAAACTAAATGTTCAGAATCTACAGGTGTGTGCGTGTTCTTGTTTGAGGCGACTTTGTTTTTGTGGTTTTCAAGAGAAACCAGAAAGGACAGCAACCATGTTTCCTTGGGGGCCGGGGGCATCCCATGTTCGATCACTTTCTGTGTAGCACAAAAATGGTCCAGATCCAAAAATGTAAAGGCCAGGAAGTCAGGGAGTGAGGCAACAACTGCGGGTTATCGAGTGCAGGTATCCAGAACTGGAATTCACTGGCTCATGTTATGGGCGTGATCAACACAGCATATTGGTACATGTTGGCTAAGAAACAGTCACAAGGCATCAGAATCGTGGAAGGGAGAAATGAGTCATGAAGCTTTATGACGCAACAAGTCTAAGTTGAACAAGTTTCCCAAGCCTGCCCGACTTGTCCCTAGATGCAAAATCGGGAACCTGAACTGTTTGGCGGGCAGGGGTCCCGTTTTCTGGCTTCAAGACTCAACTAGAGTTTTCTGGCTTCAAGACTCAACTTCCACTGATTATTTTCGGAAATATGTTCTTCATTATCTACGTTAAACTTATATACTGATTCAGAGCCATGGCAAGAGAAGCTATTGCAGCCTTGTAGCCACTAGTCACTAGCGACTGATCTAAAGTGACAAGAGGCCGAGGATTCGCTATGACCTTCCGATGCCTCTAGGGTTCATATGCCCCCTTTACCAGAAGGACATACACCTGATTGGCCAAAAAGGTGATGTAGCGGCTGTCCAAAAGGCAGGGCTCTGAACCATCTAATCTCAAAACAGGTGCTGTAGGCATCTCCTGGCCAGCGGCTTGTTCTCTGCACTGCGCTTCTGGAGACTTCCCCTCCGCGGAAAACTCGATCCTGAAGCTGATTCCCAAAACTGAAACAGGTGCGGCATGAAACCACCTCATCTGACAGCGACCCTAGGTTTTACTTGCAAAAGGAGCATGCAAATGAACCCACCTCATCTGGAAGGGACTCTGGTTTACATATATATATATATACATATCCATTCAGGGAATCGACTGAGGGCTCACCCGAGCAATGAGTCCTCTGCATGGGCACCGGGCGTGGCTTCCAGTGCGCACTCAAACATCACCAGCCAGACTAAATGCTGCAACCAGGTCAATGCTCATGTCCTATTTTCAAAAGTACAGGTTAGCCTGCTCTGTGGAACGACATGCAGGAAATTAACATAAATTATATATGTCATTGTGGATTGCAACAGAGAATAACAGCGTGCGCTGCCAAATGGTTGCGCGAAATGCCGCATGCTTGCGCGTCCACAGATGCCCGGAGCCGCAAATTAAGCAATTTCCTCCGGTCAAGGAAATTTTCAGGTTGATTCCCCCAAATATTGCATGGCAACATTTAAGGGAATCCATCATACCCCTAGGTCTGTCCTACAAACCTTAACTTTTTTGAGCTCTGCTAAGGCACCGGGGGCAGAAAATTCCCATGGCTTGGCAAAGTCAGGTATAAGATGGAGACTTGCAGAGGCAAGTCCCTTGACCTAATCACAGCACCGCCAAGTTGCCAGATGCAGCACTTGCGTCAAAATGGGGCCTAGTTGTTCTCTCTTGGAGCGATGCTGTAAAAAGGGATAATAGACACCAGGGGCACGCCGACCCAAGTATCTCGGCATTGATCTGATGCCTGCGCTTCCTCACAAGGCCCACTGCGGGTAGAGGAACGTAGCGCTGGAACTGGATGCCAGCTTTGAGCAAAGCTGAGCATCGGAATCTGCCAGCCGCAACTCATTGACTGAGTCCTCCAGCGGCCCTTTGGAGCCCAAGTCCCCAGTCATCTTCTTGGATGTCTGTGCACTAGCTTGTCATGTATGGGACATATGGGATAATGCCTTGGCACAAAAACACCAGAGTACTGCAAAACTAGGATGAATCAACACCAATATGTTTGCGCGTTGCCAAAACTCATATTCTCAAGCGAGAGACTGCAAATGGCCATAGGCCAATCCAAAAACTGGGAGTGGCACCCCCAGGGTTTCGCGCGCAAGAGTCGCCTCTCAAACTTGCCGATCTGGATTCTTCCGGATCTGACGGGGCTCCAGCGTTCCCAAAAAAGTCTAGGGACATTGCCTCTTACATTGCGGGTTTTCCTGGAGGTGCAATCGATATATGTGCGGGCTTTGTCACCGCAATCGGGTCTGTCTCTAAACATGGATTTACAGAGCAGCCACGAGCCCAACTCCCTGCGAGGGCCAAGTATGTGTCAAAATACGGGGACCCGACAAATGATCTTCCTTTTGATCTCTCTTTTAACCAACCAAAAGGCCAAAAAAGGGTACCCTCCCAACACTCACGCTCATTAGGAGAAACACTCACAGACTAACAATTCTCAGTGGGGCCACTCTCGTGCTGTCAATGTCGCTGCTCAGCCGTCGCCGTCACGCGGTGACTCGTGGGCACCTGATCGGAAGGACGGAAGGACATGGACCGAATTTTGTCCGAAGTGTGTCCATTGAAGTGAATACTTCGAGGGATTCTCCAAATAACTTTAGGGGGCTGCGTCAGACCACGCTTATAGATGGTAATTTGGAGGATGTCACTTTGGAACCAAATGACAACCCACATGAACATGTGGATTTCCAGGCGGAAACAGGGGCATACCCCTCTTTGCAGGTTCTCAGAAGGATTGTTCACCCATTCGTCCAAAGGTTCTCACACTCAAAAGGAAGAGGAGGTGACCTCTGCGCAGCTTCGCGCGGCCTGGCCTGGGGCATGGCGTACATATGGGGCTGTGTTTTGAGCCAGGTGATCGCCCTTCTTGGGAGTTTCAAGCAAAGCCACCCAAAATTGAGGGGTTCCATAGGGGTTCTTCTTTCTAGGGGTTGAGTCCTTGTCCATTCTGTTCAACTGTCCTTCTTTCCAAAAACCGGATCCGTTTTCAACCTGGGTTTCCGGAGGTGTTGTAGAAAGATTCGGATCTCTGAAAAGAATGGAAATTGAAGGCACCCCTAGATTCTTGGGAGTTTCAAGTAAAGCCGAAGGGAAACCACCCAAATCGAGGGGTAGGGGTTCCCCGAATAGTGGACCCCTAAAGCAACAAGGACCGTTTTCGTTGGGTTTCCCGTCAAATCCCAACCGAAGGTCCTCCATTTCGAGAAATTGGCATTTCAAGGCACAACCGAAATAAGGATGCAAAATTCATACTAGCAAAGAAAAGAACTATTTTGAGGCATCCTCTCCACTTCCGGCATCGGCACAATAATTAGGGATTCGCATTGCCCGGACTTGAAGCCACAGCGCAACTTGGTTTGCAGCCCGGTGGATTTCTAGGATGCTACACACAGGATTATGTGGTGCAAGCTTGAACCCTTTTAGTGGAATCCATTTAGGGTCGCCAGATTGCAGCGCAACACTCGCATATTCCGCGCTTTGAGTGCACCGAAAAGCAAATGATGTTGAACAAGTGTATGTCTCCCTAGAGGACTGCCTAAACTACTTGCAGTTTCCCGAATAATTTCCTTTTCACCCCATCCAAACAGGGTCTAATCAACACGTCGAATAGGCCCTTCAAAAGGGATCTTCCATTTGGCCCTACCCCCCAAGGTACGTAGTGGTGAGAGATGGTATAGGAGCCAAAGATCTCCTAATTTGATACCTTTGGGAGTTCAAGGCCCTTACAGCCGTCCAAAGCTTTCTTGTTGAGACAATACAAACCTGTTCCACACTCCGAATCTTCAGACCAAAAGCACCCACCAACCCTTCCTTTGGCATTCGCAACTTCACAGTTGCCTAGGGTTTGGCTAAAGCCAGGCTTTGCCTGACTAGCGGCCTATTTCAGCTTAACCTCGACCCACCCACCCCCCCTGCCAGCCCAAAGACCCGAAAAAAGGCAGGTACCCACTGCTACATCACCTGAGTACCCCCTCCGCAAAAGAACAGGTGGGTGCTTTTAAGGTGTTTGCTTTTTTTTAGGGTCCCGGAATACTCGGATTTCAAGACATGTGTGAATTGGGTAGGTCCTCCACCTAAAAGAACGTGCCAAGAACTCAACAGTTGCATCGAGCGGTGAGAGCGGGACAGGCTCGTTTATCTGGTTGCCCTAACCCTGGGGTTCAGGCAGGCCACCATGAAAACCATATTCGTTTTTTGTTTTTTTGTTTACCACAATTCGGTACCGTTCCAAATCGGGTCGTTGCCATTATTTTAATAGCGGTGGAACCCCAAACCTAACCCTGAGGAATACTTGGGATGCCTTTTACCATTCGGGATTTGAAGTGCAACTGGACTGGGGGGTGGAAGGGTGCTACCAGGGGATCTGTTGCGAGAACCCCCCCAAAAAAAAACAAAGACAACAACACAAATTCTACAATCACTGCAAAGCCACGAAGAAGAAACACTACTGCAAAACAATCAAGCAAAAACATAAAATTAGACTTAAATCCCCCAGCAAGGACCTTCATCCAGGGTATTTGCTCGCCCTCCCCCCCCGGATCGGTGGAATCCGCCTTTATAAGCCAACCAGCCCTTCCGCGAAACATCTTCACGCGTTGAGGTTACAGGGTGAAGGCAGCTGGCGGCTGCTCTTTTTGAGTAAAGGGAGTGACTATACCCACCTGGCTTGGAAGTGTGCCATCTTTTTTTTGCCCGACTGTAGTGACCGATTCCTGCAGATGGTTTTCCTTTGGGTTTCTGCTTACGCAAGAAGTTCCCACAAACTCCCTGTTCACTGAGCGCGCAGCCAGCTTCGCCACCCCCGGGCCTCAGCAAGGAGCGCATAAGCGGGAGAATCCACATGGAGCCCGGACCCGCAGGGGCTGAAATTGGAATTTGGGTCGGGAAAAAACAAAGACACAAAACGCAAGAAAGAAAGATAGGAATAAAGACATAAAGCAAGAACGACTCATGACACAGCCAGGCAAACAAACAAAACAAGAACGAATATGGTGGCTTCCTTCAGCGAAGCTTGCACAATGGGAAATGTCCTGAACTTGGGTAACCCTTTGCACGGCTCTCAACACGAAACGCTTAAACCGGCAATCCGTTTGGGAACCAACCATTCCCCAGCTCTTATTGATAGACCCCCCCAAGAATCCATGTTGGTTCAAGTGCAGTTATACCTCCAGGTAACTGGGTGCCCTCAAATGTCCTGCTAAAAGTTTAACTTGTAGTGGGTTAAATGGACACCTACCACAACACCAACTATAAACAGATGTCTGGGATAGGGGTCTGTCAAAACGTCTCAACAACCACTTGCACCGACTTGCACCTAGAAAAGGCCTTCACCGCGTTCCTTTCCGCACCGCTGACAAAACAAAGGCCGCCCCAGGCAAGGTTCTGAAGGTAACTTTGACCAGGCTCTGCTCGAATTGTTCTGAAAACTGTGGTTGGAGGCAGGAACAAAGAGGCCCTCATGGAGTCCAATTAGTGCAGCAGAAGAAGCCATTTCCCTTACCAAGCGGCGGGCATCTGCAGGCAAACGGAATCACAGTTGATTGTTCTCTTGGAGCAAACTTTCCTTATCTGGATACCTGTTCAATACCTTCTCGAGGCGTTTCAATATAGGGGACCACCCAAAGGGTACCCGCAAACCGCAATTACCTTGACCCAACCCTGGATGAGTATGTTTCGCATTCAGACAACCTTGAGCATATTATGATATGGCCATGGGTCAAAATCCCGGACCCCCAGTGAACATCCCAATCCCCACGGAAGAACAAAAGGTGTTAAAATGGGTTGGGAATTCACCAAATCCACCAAAATGGGATCCCAAAACGGTTTGACGACCACAGCCATATTTGTCTTTCCTGTTAAACAAAACAGCTACAAGCGGACTCACGTCTCGGAAGCTGAGGCCGCCACTCTGGGTTCGCTTCCGCAAAGAGACGTCCACCTTCTTCACCTGGCGAGCACAGCAAGCGAGCGGATGGAGAATCCGAGCTGGATGCAGACCCCGAAGCTTTCAGCTGTTGGGGGGAAAAAACAAACACCAGCCTCACGCGCTCTGCTCGTGCCTCAGGCCATGGGGATGCAGGTTCCCCCCTATTGGCGTTGGGAAAAGAAACACATCCTTCAAAGAGGGTTGCTCACTTTGGCGGCTTGCTGTAGGTTCTGCTGAAGAGGGTCAAACGGTAGATCTTGCGAGCCCGCAGGGTACTTTCTGAGCTTGGATGTTTGGATGTTTGGATGTTCGATTCGCCAAGTTACTAAGTGGTCAGCCACCTGGGGTATAGTTAAAACCATGGGTACGAACCAAACTTGGCCGAACACGCAAGTAAGCTTGGCTCACAAACGGGACCACTCGGTTTGGAAAGCTCAAGCCGTGGATGTCACTTGCTATAGCGTGCAGCGCTTAAAACTCGAGTTGGACACCATGAGAATGGCTATCAATCCTGATCTACAGACCTTCTCATGGCACAAGTGGAAAACCCGGAAGCCAGCATGGGCTTTTGGCGCTCATTGTAAGCCCCCAGCCGTTGAGCACTGCGCCATCAGGCCTCAGCAACTCTGATGAGACAAGTGCAGAAATCCCAATTTTCACTTGAGATTGACAAAACAAAGCAATCGCAGATACCAAGCCTGGACCCCAAGTAAAAAAAACAAACAAACAGTTATTTCAAAGGCTGGAAAATGGCCTTGTGTCAAAATAGAGGGACCCGCAAAATGGTGAGTGTGCCACAAAAAAACACAAACACACCCATCTACCTGGAGTCTCCATGACCCTGAAAAAATGGGTCCATGACCCCTTAATTTTGGGTAATGACCCCATTTTTTAAGGGTCCCGGAGACTCCATCTACAAGTCTCCGGGACCCTCTCTCCTGTGCCGGCTGAGCCCCCGACGCCGTGCCTGAAGCAACGCTACCTGGCGGAAAATTCCCCCCACACTTTTTGCGTCCACGAATCACCGGATTGACAAGGCGATCCTCCAAAACAGCTGGACAAAGTGGATCCTTTTGGCAACCCTCAAAAAGTGGCTCACGTACCCCGACTTTGCGTTCAAAGGGTTCGGAGACTCCAAATACTGATTTCCCGAGTCACAACATCCAAGTCTCACCCTTTTTCCTTGCCGAACGTGGACGTCCCCCCCACCATTGGTTGAAGTTCTTTCGTTCTTCGGTCCCTCCTTCATACGAGTTTTTCCATTGAACCCCCCCTTGTGCTATTTAGCCCGTAGTTTGACGCCCGTATTTTTTTCTACGTCAACATACCTCGGTTGCTTTCTGCTCCCCTGCTAAAAGTTTAACTCTTAGTGGTTTAGTGGAAAACCCATTAGTTGGCAAAAAATAAAGTCCTAACAGCCAAGCAAAATGCACCAAAGATACGTCAACCTGACCGGGCTCTTCGGAGCTTCGTGTCCCATCCGTCCTGGTCTTTGCTTGGAAGCAACTGCCCCAAAGTTTGAGGCGCGGCCTCCAACACAGCACTGGGGTTTGAAAAAAATCTGGGTGAGGGACGAACAACTTCGCTACGCTGCACGCACTTCCTGACTGGATCCCCCAAAGCAAGTCTAAAGCCGTTTTGCTCGCCGCTAGAATAGGCGGCGAAAGAACACAGCCCAAAAAACCTACGCACTTTGGGTTCTACCAATATGGAGATGAAGTCTCATTAGAGGCCATACTCCCCGCCCTCATCAAACCAAATAAAAAATGACCCATCTGCTAAAATGGCCAATGGGAATCGGTTTTGGCGCTACACTGAGCAGGACACAAAGCCCAATTCAGCATAAATTCAACATGAGGCCGAAAGGTACCATCAAAGGAGGCCAGATTGCCACCATCGTGATATGTGTGGATATGTGCTTTCGCTCCTAAGTTGCATGGATTCTGAATCAATCCACTGCCTAGTACTGATTCCTGCGTCGGGTGTAAGCCCCGTTCGCTTCCCCTAGTTGTAGTACAGCATGTGTAAGGTACCCTTTTGGGGTTCGGGCCGCTCCCCTCAAACAAGTGCAAGTGTATCTCAAATTGGACCCCCAAAAAGCAAAACAAAACAACATAGACCTGGAACTTCAGAAATGAAGGGCTTCAATTAGTGGACAAACAACAGCAAAACAACAAAAGGCTAACCGGGAATTATGATTAATCCTGGGCCTCACTTAAAGACACACCAAATCCATTTGAAGCTGGCATGTTGGCGCGAAACAAAAGCTAAGGGAAAAAAAAACAAAAAACAAAAAAACAAAAAAACAATCCGTTTGGGGTCAGCAGAACTTCAGCGACCGCCTGGCTTGAGGCTGACGAGCGGATCCGTGACCTTAGGACCAAAAGGCACCGTCCAGAGGCCGCCATGAAACTCTGTGCTCGGCTCGGCTCCCTCCTTCCCAACTCATTCCCTGCCTACACCAAGTCAGCTACCATTCAAACCAGGTTTCGGTAAATAACACCATGAGTTACCTTGGTTGAACTTGGAAGGGGAGCAAAAAGTCGCAAATTCCTGTCTTCTGCCTGTTCTGATTTGCCTCTGGCTGTCACGATTTACTACTAGTTGTTGGTTCCCTCTGATCGTTTCAATGCCGGCAAACCTGCAGAGGCTTCGGCCGGGCTACCTGCGGTTGCCAACCAAAAACCCGAACGGTAGCCTGTTGATTTTTTTTTCCGGTTGGCTTCCCATTGCGAACCACCCCAAAGTAGAGTAGACATACACATTCATGTTTTGGACACCTACCTTTGCTCATTCATCCCCAAGGCCGCTTGGCCCTCCATGATTTCCCCTGTGCCTGGGTAAGGAACCATTTTCAGGGTACGCGTCTCCATACATTCCTCAGGGGTGAGGATTGCGATCAGCGTCTCCTGTGATTGCCCGCACAAAAAACGACCTGTTTGTTGGCCAGTCGGAAAATGCGACATGTGCATTTAAGGCTTCCTTCCAGGCCAAATGCTCCAAGCAAATAACAAACAAACTCGCAACCTCCTCGCGATTCCAGTCCCGACCATTAGTAATGCTCTCTCAAAACCGGCACGGCAAATCCGGGTCTCCACACCGCTGGCCTGAATGCGACAGAGCATGCCATGGAAGGAATCAAGAAGGAAAACCTGCTAAACAAAGGAACCCCAAATCAGTTTTAAGTAGTTCGGAACCCACTAAACAATCATTCACCAAACAATCAAGGAATTTCAGGGGGCTAATTACAGAACACACGAGGGCACGCAGTATTGAAAAAAAACCTCAAAAAACAACACCTGTTTTAGGAGTCTCCTATAAGAGGCACAAGGTCCGGATTGGGCCCGGAACCCCAATTCGGGCACCGGCGACCGCCTTTTTTCGCATGGTGTGTGCTTTTTCACAAGACTAGCTTGGTGAACATTCAGCCCGTTGGATTAACAGCTGTACTGTGGATGGACGACGTCCATTTCGCCCCACCTTTCAGAAATCCTGGTTTCTGATTCGCTTCCCCTGTATATACAGCAGCAAACGTGACGGTTGCTTTGTCATGGTTTCTGTTGCAGTTGTTCTATCATCATTGCAAAGGCCAGGGTACTTTAGGCAAATCTTCAAGCCTTGAGGCGATGCCTACCCAAACCTCTGGCTTCCAAAAGCGGCTGTGGAAGGGTTCAGCTCATGACTCAGGGGGTGCTCTTGGGCACCCCCGCCTTCTTACTGGGAATCGCCATGCGAAGTGGTGTGAAACCGTGTAAGCCTTGTTGGGAGATAGGCCGAAGTCCAGTTTCCCACAACCATATGAGCCAATTTGTGGAAAAACGGGCCTGCAACAACCAGTCAAATATTTAGGATTTGTACGTTTGAGGTACCATTTTTGGGGGCTGGCTTAAATGGAACCCAAAAGGACCCCTATTTTGACATATGCCCATGTAAGACCAAGCCCCTGCGACGGTGTCAAGGGATCCCTTGACAGTTGCACAGAGCAGCCTAGGCTGCCAAGCAAACGTAGGGCGACAAACTGGCCAGCTTCCCTTGTCAAGCTTAGATGAGCATAGGGGGGCCCGCCTTTGCAGGTTTTCAGCACAAAATCTGAGAACATGCCTGGGGTTCCAATGTCCTCGTGCCTCGATAGCACTCATCTCGCGCGGCCCGATCCGCTATGCCAATACGGCCGCCCCGAGCTGCAAGCTGCTCCGCACAGGCCGTTCATTCAAACTTGCTGCCTGGTGCGAGAGAGCCAGGGAATGAGGGAATGACCTCCAGAAAAACCATCCAAGTGGTGGTTTCCTTTAAGGGGACCAAAACCTGGGGCTCATTCCCACACTCCCTACCTTCGCACCAGCAAGCAAAGTGAGGCATACTCGGTCTGTGCGGATAGACATCGGTGAAGCCGAGCGGCGCCAGGCCATCATGGACGACAGTGCTTTTGCGCATCTAGGACGACAGCACCGGGGCTGAAACTGGCGTCGGTTGCAGGGGCTCTGACGGGGAACTTATGTATATAAACACCCAATCTGAAAACGAAATGATATGGCGCAAATCTTCAGACTCATTTATTCCCCTGAATAAGTGTACTTAAAAACACGTTTGAAGAGATTCTGCATTCGTATTGCCTTGTTGTAGTACCATTGATAATGTTTGACATTCAACAAAGCTGCTTCATGAGTCTGACAACTGAAGGTCTTCAAACATGTCAAACAATAGAAGAAGCAAATAAAGTCTCGTTTCAAATGAAGCCATTGACAAAGTATCAGACTCTATCAAGTCCAATGCATGGACCAAAACATGTAGTGAGAAGTAGGATATGGCAAAATGATGATACATCAGGTGTGTGGTCATTGGACTATACGTAGCCACTTGTTCATCAAGAAACAACATTCGCGGCACGGCGAAACAAAAACAACAAGCATGCTGATAACCGTGATAATGACCATGAACCTTGTTAATTATATTTTCAGATATGTGGCGGATACGATATAGGAAACCATAAACATTATCAACTTGTATTGACACTCGATGTCTTTGTCACCTCAAAACGATGCCAACCTGTGGAAACAACGTCAGGCAAAACAGGGTTGTGGTGCTTCTGATTAATGACAAGTAAAATACCATGGAGTATGCCAATGCATTTGAAGCAAGAGTTGCTACTAACTTGCCCGTGTGTGTGTGTGTTTGGCAGGAGTAACGGTAAAAATAATTTACGCGTATCATGGCTTTGACGCTAAGCAATGTTAACAATATGTGTTTACCAAATAAATGAATTGTACGTACTATAATGCTTGATTTTCTGTCAGAAGAACATATGTCAAGTTCTAAAAATAACAAGTTGACTTATTCCTTGTGTTTGTTTTGTGACTGTTGCTTTGTTAACTTTGCTTGACGCTACTTTGAACTACTGCTTGTTGGTATGTTGCTATTGTTGTTTCTTGGTTGTGGCTTATGTTGCCATGATTGCATCAATGATGTCTTGACTGTGATTGTGTTGATATCGTGCTTGGAAATGGTTGGTTGTGTTTGTTGGGTGAAATGTTCGCCGTGTTCAATTTGTTGTGCTGCGTTGTTGCTGTTCCTATGTTGATCGATTTTACATCATATATGTTTGTTGGTTGTTGTTATGCTGCTATTTTCTTAAGTTGCATGCTAGAAGTATTGTTTCCAGTACTTTTAGGGAATGAAAGGGAGACGGGAGGGGGAGAGGGAAGGGAGGAGGGGGGGAACCTATTTCACCCACCCTAGACGTCCTGTTTGTAAAAAGGCACACAGGTCGCCACTGGACATTGCAAATAACCACGCTTTCTGCGATCTGGGTCATTCCCATGACTGGACTTTAAGGGGATCGGATTTACAGAACGCAAGCTAAAACCCTACCACAACCACACCTTTGTTGCTGTTGACCCCTCTTGAAGAAGATGATAACTTCTTGTCCAATGGAACATCCACAATTTCCCAAACAGCCAAAAAAGTCGAAAGATCCGTTGCCCTCCCACCCATTTCACATGGAACCTGACAGGGACATGGTCCCTTTAAAAGGCCAATGGTAAATAGGTCCTCCAGTAGAGAAGTTAGAATAAGGGTGCCCTTTTTGCTGTAGTCTGTTCTAGTAGGGGAACCCTCCCAAAAAAAAAGGTAAAAGGGCACTACTGGGGGACCTAGTTAAAGTCGTAAGATCCAAGCCAATGGCAATCCCATGATCAAGTGCAAATAGCAATCCCAATAGCAATCCCATGAATCCAACCCAATCATGCAATCAAGTGCAAATTATTCAATGATTGCCAACATAAGACATCCCGAGACAGCACATCATGATCGGCTTGGGCTCGTGAATACACCCCGAACTCTTGTTGATTGGTCCAAATGGCTGTGGCTCAAAAACATGTACCCCAAATGGCCCCTAGGTAAATGGAAGCAAAGACCAAAACCTGCGCGTATATTCAGCCACACCCATGTCAGCTTCCAGGGGAAACCCACCATCTTTCCTCCTCAAGAACCAGGGGTTCAACTCCAAGTCCAAACCAGCGAGCGGCAACTTGATCGCGTCCCTTTGGTTTTCCTGGAGATGTCGGACATCGCCAAGTCGGCAATCGCCACCGCTGGGCCACGAGGCCACGCGACTTGGCGACGCGCGAAGGGCTTGAGGCCAGCGCTCTTTGGCCTCGCAGAAGAAGTAGGGCAGCCACCCCAGGTGCCTCACCTGATATCCAGTGGGGGTCGAGATTCAGCCGAACTGGGGCATGTTGTTGGGGAAGCCCCCCCTTGTTTGGTTTTAAAGGGAAGCTAAACAGTTCTTTGTGTTTTGTTTTGGTGGGGGGTACACAAATTTTGAGGCTGATTTGCAAGGGGATCCTCCAATTTAGCTGTTCTTGGTGGCTTTAACTGGCGCACCTGGATCCTTTGAGGGGTCCTGTTCTGTTGCTCCCTGTTTCCTACTGCCCGAAAATCAGGGCCAAAGTATCCTGTGCAATGCAACTAAAACAGGGTGGTTTGCTTCGTCCGCACATGGGCAGAAACCTTGCATACATTTTAACCCTCCTGTTTCGGGTTTCTACCCTTCCACTTTCGGGCAGTATCTCAAACCGAGCGATGGGTTCCATGCGCAGAAGAAAATATGGATATCCCTTCCACCCGCAACTCATCCTTGTTTCCCGACTAACCCACATGGGTGTGTTTGTTATTTTTTTTCTTCAGGGTGCCAATTTCCAGGAGTTGAGGGACATCACCCATTTTTGGGGCACCCCTATTTGGAACACATCTTGTATAATGATTGGGTGTTCAAAGTTCCTCCAAAGGAATCCACGTCAATCTTGCAAACTTCAACCCATATGTGGATGGCTTGGGAGCATCCCTGAGGAGCACATCAGATGCGCTTGGACATATTTGGATCCCTGACAGGGTCCTCATGGCCAAGGTCGCACGCGCACTGCCCCTTGTGAGACGTGAGCTAACTTGGATACGCGTGTACCTAGTACACCTCGCACGGTGTTGAGGACATGGTGCCGGGATCCTTGAGACAGGTGATCAAAGTGGTTGATGCCTATCCACGGCAGTCTCCTTCAAACTCACCACCCATCTGGTCCTTCAAGTTGAAGCTGCAGCGTTGCGCTACCCAAACAAATACCACCAAGTACCATGGCTTGCACCTGAAACTCTGTACCAAATACATGTTTTATCCTCCGGACTTTGACAACTCCATCACTTCCACGAACTCAACACGGCACTTCCAAATGCACCGTTCTGTTACTCTCCAAAACCACCGGATCCAAAGCTAACAGTACCTCCAATCAAACTGTGCCACTCTGCATGAACCAAACGGAACACACATCTGCAACACGTCCAACCCTATTCCAAGGCTTCGGCTTCCGAACAGCTGCCACGCGCCCTAAAGTACGTTTGAAGTCTGCTAACGGTACCATTGGCCCTATGGGAAATACCCCCCAAACCACCAACGATGATGGTCCAGGCCAACCCCATACCTCCAAACGCAGCCTGGCACCATCCCCCAACTTCTGATCTTAGGCCACTTACTGGGCTGCCCGTTTTCGGATCCCCCGCTGAAAGTCGACAACTTTTAGTGGTTTAAATGGAAACTACCACTAAACGCTAAAAGGCGAGAGAGCTAAGGGGATGGCTGGGAGCCATCAAGTTACCATTGGCGCCATGGGAAATTGACCCCAAGGAAGGGTATTGGCCAACCCAGCCTTTGGGACCATTCCCTGGGTAACATCGACTGCCGGCCTCTGCGGTCTTGAAGTCTGCTGGTCGCAGCAAGAGCGCCTCTCACAGGTGTGTCCATCAGGTGGGCAGCGGAAAGATATGGCTGTGGGTCAAAACCAAGGGCACTATTTTGGGGTAGGTGAATTCCCCACCCATTTTAGTCTATTTTAGTGGGGATTGGGATGTTCACTGGGGGTACGGGCTTTTGACCCATGGCCACATGGCTCCGTCCCCCCCCTACCAGGGGGAGCGGGGTGTGGTCCGGGACCTAATTCCATTTAACTAGTCTTCCCCAAGGGGAAAATGAGTTGCCATACATGGAACTACTTCCAGGAGTCGCGCCCGTCGCCATTTCGGGGTGGGGATATGGCTCCCCGAAAAGTGGAGAGAACCCAACAAACAGCCAGTCCTCTTTCCGGCGCTGATTGCAACTGGCGTAACCTCGAATTGGAGCCCTGATAAAAAAAGAGCTTCCAACAACCACACATTGATACCAAAACCACACTGTTTAATCAAGGTAGTCACCTTGTTCTTGCTCATGCCCAGGACGCTGGCCAGGGCATGGCGGCAGGCAGCAAACCCGAAGATGTTGAAGCGGCGGTGGCTGTCATGTTTCTCGCAATCCAAGAACTGCTTCATAAGCTCGAATTTCAGCTCTGACACCCGCAGCTTGGTCTCGCCTTGGAAAGCCATCTGAATTTCCTGAACCCGGAGCGCAGCCCCTTTGTCCTCTTTGATTGATCGTCTCCCGATAGCAACAACATGTGCTTAAGTCCGCTTGTGCAAGACTCAACGGTCCCTCCACCTGCAAATATTCTAGCTTGCAGCAATCAGCACATACCCGAAATTGCCATCATGTTTTGTTGAAAAACACTCAGCGGGAAGGAACCCGCCCATATATACACACACGCCAAAAATATCACTCCATACCCAAACATTACTTTTGCTCTTGTACACACGCAAATGCACACAGACACACTCACAAACTTACACACTTGTGCGCACACACACACACGCACTCTTACAAACGTACACACTTCCACACAAGCAACATCCATTTTGAACCCTAATGTGGAAATAGAACTCTACCAGTCCTCTCTACCATCCTCTCTACCTTCGAAGTCTACCAGAAACACACACACACACACACTTCCACAGAAGCAAAAAAAGAGGGAACACTCTCTCATCCATTTTGAACCCAACACCAGAAAGAGCTGCTGACCTTGGGTGAACCCACCAAAACGGTTGTCATGTTTAATGGGATTGACCAATTCACAGGCCTCCAACGCAGCGACACCCACACCGAAGACGTAGATGCCCACCTGCGCGGCAACTGGTGATTGGAGTTGGTGCCCTCAGTTGGTCCTTTAAGGGGAAGGGATTGACGACTTGCAAATCGAAGCCCGGCTTGGGGGAAAAAACCTAGAGTCAAACCCAAGTGGCCATGGGCAAAAGGAAACCGAACCGAACCACATTCAGCACGTCATCGCATCTCTGAGGCTTCCAGGATCTTCCAAACCTTTCAGTTTTGTTCAATCCGTTGTCAAAAACCCTCAGAAACCAAACTGAAGCCAGTGGAATCCATCTACAGAAGTATTATCCAATGAAGTGAACACAATACCTACGAGTGCAATTGTTGCAAGTGCCTGATGAGACTTGTCTCACGTGCGCGGCGAGGTCATTGCGAAGATCTTTTCTTGCTGGAGGCAATGTTTGGTTGTGCTCAGGTGGGGAATAGAAGATAGTAGAAGTGCATCAACAACAACGCACAAACAAAAGGCTCCTTGTCGAATGGTGTAAATTTTGATGGCCAGAACAAATCCAACAGCCGTTGGGAAGCCGTAAAGGCGTAACAACACTTTTCCCTGCGCCCCTCCCATGGTGTAAAGCTGGGCTGTCACACTTGCTTAGGATGTCCCGAGAACCCCAGGAAACATGAACAAAGAAGTGCCGGCATCTCACCAACTGGTGCTTGTGCGAACCTCTGACAAAGCGAGTGTCACGTCTTGTTTTTGGTTTACTTGTTTCTTTTGACTACAGAGATTCATGGACCCTGGATGACGCCGTGTAAAACCCGTTGTTTGAGGGCTCTGCCCGTTAGGCACACGTGCCTCAGCCTCGGCATCATTTAGCTGAGCGGCGTGGTGACATGATAGATGTGTTCGGCACAGGGTGGCCCTTTTGCCACATTGTTTGAAACAAGTGTTGCATACCTCGAACAAAAACACCTACATGGTTCAAGTATAAGGCGCCGACTCGTTTGTCCAAAAAGATTCCAACAGGCACCCTGGTCTGGCATGCATTGGTTTCCTGCCTGCAAACATAACTAGGTGGAAAATCGAGGGGGGCTGGATACAATAAACAGTTAGCCATCAAGTAGTGGGCTTTCCTTTTTTGGTAAGCAAGATGAAAAACGGCCCAATTTTAGTTCTAGGGGAAGCTGACAACTGAGAGCGCCAAACAAAGGTGATTGCATGCGCCTTGCAACCTGCACGACGGGGCACAAGAAAAAAAGAAGAAGAAACAAAACGCAGCTCCAGCACGTTTCTGATGAGCCATAAGTCCAAGTCGTCCGCTGTGTCGTGTTTTTTTGTTTGGATCAATGTCGGAGAGAAGCGATGCGAGAAGCTGAACCAGTAAGCGGCGTAGAGAGGCGTCGCTGAGACAGATTAGGGAGTTAACCCTAAGCTCAGGTTCCAGAATTTGAAGCGGATCCGTGCATGCCAGCGGCGCAATGTCTTGACTTGCGCTGACGCGCCTGGAAACTGTGTCATCGATGTCAGCTTATGTCAAGGATCTAAACTTGGGCCCGAATAGGTTCGACCTAGGGATGCGTTGATCAACTTGCCGCATTCATCGAGGGTCTCCCGCCAAAAGTGATCTGCATGTCCGCAAGCAGGAGCCCACTCCGATCAACTTCAACTAGGTCTTCCAGTACATAGGTTAGACTAAGGGCCTAAGGGTATCAACGTTTTTCTGTAGTCTATTTTAGTAGGGGAACCCTCCCCACCAAAAAAGGGGAGAGAAGGGCATTACCTTGGTTGACGTTGGAAGGGGAGCAAAAAATTAAACTTTAGCAGTTCAGTGGGGATTTCCCACTAAACCACAATAAGCAAAATATAAAATGTATCCCAACAACCATGTTACTGCGGGACCTAGTCAACCAGGTTGTTCATGAGCCACCGGCGGCCTGCTCCAGCATGTGAATGGCGATGTGAAGGTATGGGAAGCCCCAGAGGCTGTCGAGGAATCCCCACCTCGCCGACTGGACCGAGGACAACATCGACGGATTCGACTCCGGCCGGGAGATGAACACCAAACTGCCGCATGTGTTTTTTGTTTTCAGAATGACCCAGGAGACCGCCTACGCAGCGCTTGTCCAAACGTGGACTCGGATATCCCATTTTGGTCCGGGACCCCAAAGAAAACTTACAATGACCGAACCCAGTTTGTTGATGCCGCGTTCATGGCCGCTTGAACAAAGCACAGTCTCAGCATGTCTTAACTGTGTCCTTTGCGCACGAAACCAAAGGAATATTGAGTTGGACAAGGCTGGATGCTTTTCGTGCGCAGGTGTCTGTTGCGGTAAGCCCAATATTAATTTAAGCAGCAACAAAACGATGGACTCATCTATACCATTCTTCCTATGTAATCAACAAGAATCCGCTATAGAATAACAACACATGTATGTTTCCTAGACAAAACAACGGACAGTCCATGTTGCGAAGGTGGAGCGCATTTAATTTGCGACTCCGCATAGGGTCGCGCGCATGACAAGGCCATGGATGACACAAACAACTCAGCTGTCGGACACGCTCTGGTCGTTAATCCACCCACATGTCTAGGCTGGAATTAGGACCCCAGCAACAAAAAATATATGCAAGGGAGAAGACAAATCTTCGACTGTGCGGAGTGTCCTTACAGGGCGAAACACGAAGCCCCACAATGAGGGGAATGAATGAAACCAAACAACACAGCTCTCTGAATATGGCACGAACGCGGGAACGGTTCCCTTGCTTTGTGACAATGGGCGTTGCCAAGACCGGGCCAGGGTTCCTACGAGAACTACGTTGCCTGAAACTCAGCCCTGCAAACGAAAGCGCCTCAAAAACTACGAACAAAAGCTAGCGACTTACGGTTGCTCCCACGTTGGTGTTTGGCTGCGTTGCTTCTGGACCACCGACAAAAGCTGGGTTCGGATCTTGAACAACAAAATTACCCGATTGGACAAACTGGTGCAAGCTTCAGCCGAAATGGCAAGCACGTCTGCAACAAGTCAGCAGCCGTTCGCAGCCCGATTCTGGCTCTTGATCGCCCAGTTTTGACTTTTGAGCCTTTGAGGTTGAATTATAGGGAACAAAGGATTGTGGCTGGTATGCTCAAAATGAAGAGTTGACGAGTCCCTTTACCATTTTCGTGTTTCGAACAGAGGAATTGCCGGGATCGTCGTTCATGGTCAACGAATCCAAAGGAACCCCCCAAATTGGCCCGGTGAAAGCGCTCAATGGCAAACGACTGCCAATTGGAAAGCTGACAGCCGACTAAAAGCAAAGGAACCCATGACCGTGCGAAAAGCTGTATAAATTTATAACCAAGTTGTTGACAAAGCTATTGCCGGCAATTTCCTCACACAAACCGGAAAATATGGGACGAAATTCACACTTGCCCACCCGAGCCGCCCCGCTCGAAGCCCACCAGGCATTCCACGAAGGACAACACCTAGACGCTTTTTCTTTGCGCCTCACTGAGTGCACTCCACATCTTGGGTCGGTCATCCCTGGGTACACGTTGAGTTACTCATCTTTTCAGGGGATACTGTGGATGGACGAAATCCTGCACCATCCAAGAAACCGAGGGAAACCAGTGTCTGTTGGTGTTTACAGGGGAATAATCATTCCAGGCTTTGTTGAGGTGGTGCAGGATTTCGTCCATCCACTCACCTTTGGAGTGGATGGCCCATATAAGTCCGAACTTTTGCTACGGCACTAAAATGGTCCTCCCAAAAAAGCAAAAAGTCCAGTGTAGGAATCATTCGACATGGTCCAGTCCCAATCATTCCCAATGCAAACCTACTGTGTTTTATTCTTTTGAAAAAATCCACGGGTGTGGCTTCATCCTTGAAAACGTGCGTGGAAATTGAGCATCCCTTCCGGAGAAGAGAGCATGTCAGCAAACCATCTATATAGTAGGCCCTGGCAGAAACACTCAAATAGGGGGCTCGGCTTACCCCCACCAACAAATCACCCAATCGTCCTTTCAGCGGGCCATGAAGTTCGATTCTCTCCAAACACAGGATGGGGAGTGATATGCATTCTGACTCGTTCTCTCTCTCTCTCTCTCTGACTCTCTCTCACTCTCTCTCTCTCTCTCTCTTTCGCTAGAAATCCTTGGCTTGATATCCCACAACACAATACTCTGGACAGTCTGGCAAGAGTTGAATGCGTTCCAATCATCTACACGTGAAGGTACATGATTGTGCTCATATGGTCAAGTACCATGGATGACTAAAGGATATTCCCATCTACTTTCACCCACTTGCACAACCACACTCAACTACAGTATTGAGGCCAGACATCCCTGGTCCTTGTTCTCTTCAATGGATCAGATTGGATGAACTAAGTGACATGGACAGCTCTTCGAGTTCTTCCCAGACTTGCTGTAGCGGCAAGCAAAAATATGTGCATCTTTTCGGATTGTAGCCGCCTGCGAGCAAAAACAAAAGCAGCTGGGACATACGAGAATGTGCCAAAACAAGTGGCAGGTTAATCGGAAAAAGTACAAATTGGTTGGAACAATGCTACAGTAGCTGGTTCGTTCGTTGGCTCGATGTCTTGAAAAATTGTACACACAATGAGATGTTCAGATTCTCTTTGAAGACTCCGGTCCAATCTGGGCTGAAAAGGAGATGTTATGATTCTCTTTGAAGACCCTCCCAAAAGCCACAATTTGATTCTTGACACACCTCCAATCAATATCCCTGATTTTTATTGCCGAACTCACTAGATCGATCGGTCCAAAGCGACCTCATTGGCAACGGACAGGTGATATTAAGTCTTTCCCAACACGGACCCCTACACAAGACTCAAAAATGATCTTAAGGATATATGTTCACCTACCAAAAGAAAAAGAAACCTTCAACCTTGAACACAAGCAGCAAACAAACAACAAACGAAACCCTGAAAGAACAACATTTCAACCCCCCATGCCACTCGATTCCACTGGCTTGAAACGGTCCCGAGGTTGCAGCCATGGCTGAGCTCAAGAGGCACCCGGAGGTGGTGACCTTTCGATGCGAACGATCTGACCAAAGGTCCCAGTGGCCATGGGACGACCAGTGGCCATGGCTTGGAAAACCGCCAAAAGACGAGATAGATCCCACCAAATGGGAAAGACCATCTGCAAATCGTTCCCAAAAACTTGATATATGTCCCACTAAGTGCCTACATTGCTCGGACAACCACGAAGAAGAAGATATATCTGTTCCGCATTGGAAAAATAACTCCCATCCCTATGAGCCCCCCTTGGGCCCCTAAATATGAGGGCCTTGAACCCCAGGCCGAGAATGAGGCCTTGGGCTCCTAGGGCATGGCCATTGGGCCGAAAGGAATATTGATCAACACCCATCTGAATTATGATTGGGCAAAATCAATACGAAATGGATCACCTGGGATTTGGGGAGTCCCCCCCCCCGAGAATTCATATTTTGGCAGGATTCCAGCTCAAAAAAACAATGAGCCCCATTGGGAGCGCCATTGAATGCACGGCCTTGCTCGTGCCAAACTTGGGCATGTCAAACATCCCCAAAATACAAGCCCTGAGGCGCCCTTGAGAGGAGACCAAACGGTCATCCAACGGAAGGACGAGGGAACATAGGTGAGGTTCGTAGGAAGTTTGTGAGCAAGCCTCACAATCCAAACTTGGTTCTTGCAAACCAGGATGACCCGCACCTACTGTGGATGGAGGAAATTCTGCACCACTTTGAAACCATGGAAAACCAGTGCTTGTTTGCTTGTTTGTCTGTTTGGGATTTGTTTTGGGCTGTTCAAAACTGATTGCCTTGGCTACCGACAACTCACTTCCCGAGTAAATGGTCCAAAGGTTGGAACTTCTTGGCCACTACACTGGTCTTCCCATCGAGTATACAGTCCGGGGACTCGGAAAGTGAGACAAAACCTGGGACATCCCGGCAAAACCAAAGACTTCCCCATAAAAGGGAACTGGGTTGCCAGAAAAACGGAGAGTTTTTGTGGGGGTCGAATTTCCCCCCCAATGCCACCCAGCGAAATGGAGACACCGGGAGCCCCAGGGCTCCGCACCAGGCCATAGGTCATCCTCGCCTGAGGCTTCTCCGACCTCCGGGCCTCAGGGCTCAAAGGATTCGAAGCGAGGAAACAGGCTTAGGAACATGTGGATGCGTGCGTGCGTGCGTGCGTGCGTGTGTGTGTGTGTGTGTGTGTGTGTGTGTGTGTGTGTGTGTGTGTGTGTGTGTGTGTGTGTGTGTGTGTGTGTGTGTGTTTGTAGTTGGTACCCCATGTTTTTTGTGGCTTCAAAAGAAAAAGTCGGAGGAAAATAGGTTGCTTTTGCTTGTTTGCTGGTGTTCCCGGTGAAAGTCACACCCAGTGGATGGAAGGATGACTGGAAGCTAAAAGTGGAGAAGGAACACGGGACATGTGGAGCAAATCCAAGCCAGCTTCGCACCAGTTAGGGATTTGTGGCGCAGATCAATTACTGTTCACAAGGTTTCACCCATCTCAACTGGTGCCGGATGTTGTCCATCCACAGGATGGCAACATAAGGACCCAAAAAGGTGAACAGTTGCAATCCTCTTGATCTATCTATGGAAAGGTTCCTCAAAAAGGAAGGTCCCTTTTGCGTTTGTGTTGGGAACCCCAAAAACTGCCTTTGGCAAAGACCATTTCCAACCACGGGTCTTCGGTACCGAGCCGAAACATTGGAAGCACAGCTAACCTGCAAACTATCAAGTAGTTGGTAAACAGGCCTGATCGGCTTGGTCGAACTGACCCTCCGCGAATAGTGTTCAACTTGTTGCTGGTTCGTGGGCAAACCATACGTAACATTGAGCAAGTATTGAGAGTTTGAAGTTTCAAAGCCATAACAAGGGCAGTAGCCGCTTCAAACTTACACATTATTAAACAACAAATCATCAAACATGGTTTAAACGTTACAGGTTGGAGCAAAAGCCAAACCATGACAATTGAACATTCAAAGCATCACATAGACCAGCATAGACCAATCTAGAAGCTCAGAACAGAAAACAAAAACTTGACAATTCACCAGTTGCCTACAGCCTACATCTCAACAGGACAACACAAGCGGCCTTCGCAATGCACCCGAGCAACTTGACACAAGCCCGGGATTCAAACTTAGCCCCTCCCACGAACAAAAACCGGTTGGCTTGACAGTTTTTTGCTCGTTGCTTTTTGAACCATGGCCTGTTACAAGAACAAACATGTCCCAAGGAAGTTCTCCAGCTTCGCGCCTGGCAAACCTCGTGTAAGGCTTCAGATGTGGGTTGACACACGGATCAAGGAGGCGATGGCATGGAGTGCCGCACTGCTACTCGGAAAGACCTATCCGGACCAGCGAAGTGATCGAGCTTTTTCCAGGTACCCTCGAGATAGTCGGGTGATGGATCAACAGCAAAGCTACGGAACTACGGAAAGCAAGCCTCACCTGAGTCACACTCAAAACCCGGTATGGACAAATGGTCTACCCAGAACCATGCTTCAAAAAGAAAACCAAGGTGGATATCTGCATCCGTTTATTGCAAGGGAATTCGCCCTGACTACACTCCCCAGACTAACATGGAAACTCCTAGGACTCCTTTGGAAGACTTGGTTCCATTTACAGGATCGGCCTTCTGCGAGCTTCCGGCTGTTAGTCTGAGGGAGTGTACCCTCAAGAATTACCAGGGTGGATATATCTGCATCCATTTACGGCAAGCGGACTAGCTCTGACTACCCTCCAATTACCCGAATCGGTTTTAGCTTCCATGTTCCTTCTGGAAGGAGTGTACCCTCCAATGAGCCTCTTCAAGAATTACCAGGGTGGATCTCTGCATCCGTTTATGGCCAGGGGATTCGCCCTGACTACCCAATGACCCGAATCGGTTTTGAGCTGGGTGGGGCAAAATATGGCAAAAGATTTTTTAAACGCCACCTTTACAAGGGAAGCATCATCATAACCAGTGACCAATGGGTGGCCCCACCCGAGTTTTGAGCCGCGTCCTCGGATTCCCCTCGCTGGCCACGAAACGCGGCCGGCCGGAAAATTTCCCAAGCGCTGGGCCATGATGGAGGCAAGGAAGGTGGCCAGGAAGACCTAAAAGCAGCCCAACCATCCAACCAGCCAACCAAATTCGAATCCAAACTAAACTAAACTCAACAGACAAACAAACAAACAAACAAACAAACTAACTGAACTAACTATCTAAACAAACAAACAGACTAACAGAGCAAACAGACTAAAAAGGCAAACAAAGCCGCCAGGTGGCGGAACATAGTCTCCCAGGTGGGACTGGATTGGAAAGTCTGTCCTTTTGAGTTTAAGGACCGTCCTGGTCCGGCTTTGCGGGAAAGGGAAAACTCTTTCTGTGTTGCCAACATGGGTTGTCATGAGGAGTTCGTTGCTTTCAAAGGCTTGCCCTCAATGCAAGTGACCCTGAACCTTCCCCAATCTTGACAGCCACGAAGGCAACCTTTTGCCACTTGGGACAGATTGGCATGCCTGGGAGCTGCATCAAGAACTGATACAGTGCAAAACAAGCATGCACAATACAGCTAGCAATGGCATTTCCTAGGTCATGGTATTGGAATCCTACCACCTTTTACGGGGGAAGCGTGGTTTGTTTCCAACATGACCCAGGCCGGGCAGCCAAACATCGAGACCCTGAAAGGACTGGCGTATTGAATCGCAGGAGGACGTGCGCACTCGGCGAGCCACCTTCTCATTCAGGCTTGGGTTTGTACCAGAAGCCAACTGATAGGTGCAAGTGCCAACCTGACACGGGTTCAGGCACTGGTGGGGCGGCAACCCCTATATGTAGTAAGCCCACATTGTACAACTACACATCTGACTCCGGTTGACGAAGGGACCTCTGCAAGGCTAACCAAAAAAGACAAGGCATGTAAAAGGGGCTGGAGAAACAACTGGAACAACAGCATGGCTTGTGGAATTTCTTTCCGGGGCAATGCCTCATCACTGAGAGTATCAAGACCAGGCACGCACTCTACAACCCCCGATCATTTTGATTCCATAGATCACACGTGTCCAATGCCCAAGCGAACATGGAGGATGACAGTGCTTTGACAAAACAATGTCTATACATAATGAGGACGTATGCCCTATGCCCATACTATTCTTGCCAAGCATGTCCTGGTGAAATTCAGTGAGAGCCACAACAACCCCTGATAAAGGTAAGTCTTGCTCGAAGGGTCTCTTACGTAATATCTTGCAAGGCTTCAAGCAACCTCAGCCTTCACAGCCTGTCAGGTGCTTCCGTTCTCAACATGTTGGATTCAAGGGGAGGGTTCCAATACTTTGGCAAGCCCTTGCAAGTCAATCTGCTGGGATCGGTGCACCATGCTCAGTTCTGGTCCAAGGCGCTAGTGACCATCCCCACAATGGGAAGGTCACTTTAAAGAAGCTACATAACTCGATGTTTGTCAGAAAGGACAATATCCATCCCTATAGTGTAACTATGAGGTAGCATAATATAAGCCCACAACCAAAATTCCTGCGACCCGCTATCAACCAAAAGGATTGTCATTCCCACCTAGAGAGAAGAAACACGCAGCAGCAGGCTACCTGTCATGTTATACTCTAAACCACACGCGAGCTGTGTTGAACATGCTGGTAACATTCCCTCGGTGCCATTCTTGCAAGGACAATCACAATTCCCTCGTCAGGCATGTGTCAAGCAAAGCGGCAACAGGCATGTTAGCGCGCACCCAGTAGAGCAACTAACCTACGCTCCTCAACAAAAACTCCGCACATTCTCTTTCAAACACTCACAAGCAGGTTGGGGCAACCCACTTGTCCAAAAGCGTTAGGACACATCTGCTTGAGCAATGCTGCTGGTTTCCTTACTGGAAGACACGGTCTTGGTGTAAATGGACTGTGCATCATTCAACTTGCTCAAAGCGGGCAAACATCTTCAAACGTGACTCTTTGAAGATAAGGGACCGGTATATCCCCGAAATCATCAAGCCGTCCTTTTGGGGTCCATGGAGGTTAAACAAAAAAACACAGCGGCGAAAGGGAGCTCCAAAACTTGCATGTTCCATACGCTTGCGAATGTCCTAGGGGATCCCACTGTTGGACCTGAAATCCTGAACTCCAGCAGTCGGGATGGATGATGCCTAGGAATATTTGGATAACTGATAAATTTCTATCAACTGGAGGATTCTTTAGATCCACAGGCGACGGGTGCATTCCCCAGAAATTCCCTGAGAACCAATCTCAGGATACACAAAACGCGCCCAAAGATGGCGAAAAGGGCATGGACCTACCTTCCGGATTTTCGGGCTATGGGGAGGCGGGTTTTGGGGGGGGGGGGGTAACTCCCTTGTTCATCCCTGAAGTCCTGAATTACGGGCTTATTCCTTGGCTTCTCCTTGGCTTCTCCTGGCTTCTCCAGTCCTAGTTCCCCCTCCCTCCCGCGGGAAAACCGAAAACCCGTCCCTTCCAGGGGGCCGGACGCCCGGCGCCTGCACCACGAAGAGCGTCCAAACCTCAGTGCTTGGAGCCCCTTGGAGCTTTGAGCCCTTGGGTTCCAGGTGGGTCATCTTTAGGGTCCCTGGGCTCCTGGGACAATGCGATTTCAAGGAGAACTATTGTTGGGTTGGTTTGAAGGGAAAGCAGAAAGAACACCACCTCCTTTTACCTTTTTATTCTGGGGTGGGGGTGGCGGGGGGAGTTTGTTTCGACACATTTTCCTTGGGAAGCATACGCTGGGATCTGAGTTTCGGTTTGCCTTACACAAAAGGTCGTGCACAGAAAAGCTGGGTGAATTGTCTCTTCCTTTAGGGGAACTAAGATATTAATGCCATTTAGCGGCCAGCAACACTGTGCGCATGCAAGTTCTGGAAACACTCTAAGTGAAAACACATCTCTCCTTGATTTTAGGCAATGTGCAGATGCGTGGATGTCACAGCGACACGCATGAAGCGTTCCCACTATCGGACTTTGGCCCAGTAACTTGTATAACAACCAAGTCCACACACAATCAAATCAGCGTTCATGATGCTAGTCAATTTGAAACACACACACACACAAATTAGCAACTTACACAATTGCAAGCGCCGGAACTAAGTCACATCAGTTGGGCGGAAGACACATCACTGCATGGCACCGCAAGATGGAAAGATGCGACATCAGCCGGGAGGGAGTCGCATCACACAAGTCAAATCAATATGGCCCCGTAACACAACAGAGCGACAAATCAGTTGCTCAAACTGGGTCGAAGCGATGTGACGGTAGAAGATCTTGCAGCAAGCATCGCAACTGTGGGACCTCCATTGGCACATCGCAACTCAACGACTTCAAATGGGTATCGCACACAAACCAACAAATCCACATGAAGTTCCGTCAAATTTCACCTTGAGCTATATGGATGTCCAAGTGTAGACTACTGTCCTTTCCGTAAATTCTGACCGCGCTTCACATGGCACATTGCCAGAAGAACAGCCAAACCGCACAGGATTATGGTCTGTCACATGAATAAACATCAGACAGATCAACACCAAGATCGAAACAGCAGTTTTCAAGCACTGATTGGTCGGCACAGGAGCGGGCCCAATTACCCACTCGTTCCCCGTTCCCGAAAAGCAGTCGCTGTGCTCCATTGCCGAGACCAAACCAAAAGCTCCAAAGCACTTGATCTGCACATGCAAACAGCGCGGGCATGTCCATCGCAGCCGATATTTTCAAGCAAGACTCAATGGGCACAAGATCAATCTCAACCGAGGAATGTTCATTGAATCGGAATATCTTCAAGCGAAAACACATTGGGCACAAAGGATCGACGCGACTGCCGAGGTGATGTGACAAAAAGCGAGTGCTTGTACCACACATGTGAGCAACGAACAACCTTCTTGTTGCCCCAAGAGGGCATAAACACAATGTGTGTCTTTTGACACCCCAGCATGAGTCTCAGAGCCCGTGTTCTTCCCGAACAAATAGCCTAAGAGTGATGTGGTTCGGAACTGATCGGCTTGCTTCATTTGATGCCAGTACGTACCACAAGTCGAATTGGGTGCATTTCTATTGAGGGTATCATTTTCGGATATTCTCAGGAAAGCCAAAACGGACAATCTATAACTTGCTTTTGTTTGGTGGGCCACCTCTAAAATAGTTGGCTGGATTTTGACTTCCCTTTGAACCAGACACCCACACACACCCACTTTGAGACACACCCATTCACTCTTGAGGCTCCCACGCCCCCGTGCTGAATCGCATAGGGCAACGTTGCCACAGTGCCCACCTACCGAAAACTGCTCAGTTCCGCGAAGTCACCCCGGTTAAGAAGAACACTCCCTAGGAGCCCAAGACCTCATTATTAGAGGCCTTTGGGGTTCAAGGTTCTCATATCTAGGTCCAACGGGCTCCTAGGGACTGCTGGGGAGATCGATTCCAGTTTTAGTGGGGGATCCATTTGTAAACGGGTGCCACAGAACAAATCGGGTCCTTCAAAATGTAGGAATCCTTCAAAACAAATGTTGAAATTATCGCAAAGAGCATAATCCAAATGCAACCGCGCAAAACGAGGGCTTTATGGTTGTTCAAAATGATATTCTAATCCTACGCCGCAATCCGTAGGACACCATCTGGCATAAGGATTAGGGCAAGATTGTGAACAACGCAGGCAGGAGCAAACCCAATTGCCTCTGCAGTACCCAATGCATGTGCCTTTTGTTTGTTGAAGAGTGGAAGCCTTCGTCACCTACTATACAGGTAACTGGATCTACTGGCTAAGCAAACAAACACTTCAGTAGTTAGGTACTCATTCCCCTCTTCAACGTCACAAGCCCAGTTTCTGACTTTGATAAGCCCAAACCAGTCAACATAATGATCTAACACATCTACATGGGTGTGTCGTTTTTGTTGAGGCTACCCCTTTTCAGTTTGTTTAGAGGAACGTCCAAAACTTCCATTTGGCTAAGGCCCCAGGAAAAACAAACACATATTTCCAGTAGTGATGAGTTCTTTTTAAACCCATCCAGGGAAAATCGCAAATATTCCTAAGCAAAGGGGGAAAAACACACCTCCTTCTTCTTGGGGGGGTCCAACCTCACACAAAGAAACTTCGGCCCCTGAGGCCGGCACCAGGATGGCCTCGGACACCGCGACAATGCCGCCACCTCCGTGCTGGTCTTGTCGGGGGCTTGGGTTCCAAAATGCTCCGAGGCGCCTTTTGGTTTCCAATGAAAACCAAACCAAAAGGGGGTTCCCCGCCAAAAAAAACAAAACAAGTGCCACTGGTAACTCCGACCCTCAGTTTTCAGGCTTTTCCTTCTGCCTCCCAGTTCCCACTAGGGCCAACAAAAGAAGATGAAAGATGGCACAGTTCCAAAGGGAATTCTGCGCCATCTACTTTCATGCATGGCGTAATTATTCAGCTTGGAATGGGTGGGGCAGCAAATATTGGTATTACACTACCCGCAGAATAGATGGCACATTTACGACGTATATTTTTAAGTAGATGGCACGGTGTGATTTGAAAATGCCAATTCACAGTTGGCACATATCTTCAATTATCCGGCGAATTGTGCCATCTACTGGCTCAAAAAATCAGGGAATATCCAGGGGGTCAAAAACATTGTGCCATCTACTTTGCAAACATGTCCGCCGACCCCTTTGGCTCTTCTGTGAGTGGATCGGAGTGAAGTGGGAGTGGAGTGGCGTGGCGTAGAGTGGCGTGGGAGTGGGGTGGAGTGGAGTGGAGTGGAGTGGAGCGGAGCGGAGTGGAGTGGAGCGGCGTGGAGTGGGGTGGAAGACGTCGGGGGGGACTGCGAGGCTTTTTCGGTCCTCTACATGGGTCTCCCGTTTCCGGGCCAGCCGGAGCAAGAGCGTTAATTAAACTGCAAACATCACGCATATGTGTTCGGACTTTCTTAAAGCCTCATTTCATTTCAAACTTTGTGATTACGACTCACTCCATTTCCATCGTAACAATTCAGACCTACTGATTCATATTATCAGCCGACATCAGCCGACCAAACACTTAGAAACGTTTGGAAAGGACAGCGGTGCCCAAAAGGAAGCTGCGGCTTCGAAGTGTTAGTTACGCGATTCCTGAGCATCGACAGTTCTGAGTATCGATAGGTTGTCTTTTTCCATTTGGATTCTCTAAAGCGAACTCCGCGTTACACGTTGCTTAAGAACCGCAAACAGCTTATCCTCCTCCCGGGCTTCCTGGGACCCTGAGAGCTGAAACTTGGTGAGACTCTTCCCCGACTGCACCGAGCCGATTCTGTGACAAGTTCACGGAGCACGAACGAAGCTCAACTGCCTGCAAGGTACTTACCTGGCTGCAGCTTGTGTGGCTGGACTTCCCCGCTGCCCGGGAAACTGCCTTGTGGAGGCCCTCCCACAAACGAAGCAAAGTAGATGGCACAATTCCACGCATGACCTTGCCAAGCAGCCCGGCTTCGACTTCCTCCATAACTGCCTGGTTGGGCTTCTTGTCTGCCTGGAAAAATCTCCTACTTACCTGGCTGCAGCTTGTGTGGCTGGATTTCCCCGCTGCCGGAAAACTGCCTTGTGGAGGCCCTCCCACAAACGAAGCAATTCCACGCGTGGGCTTGCCCAGATCTCGGCTTGGACTTCCAGAACTCCCTGCAAGGCTGCCTCAGCCCTCTGCTTGCCTGGTTGGGCTTCTTGTCTGCCTGGAAAAATCTCGTACTTACCTGGCTGCAGCTTGTGTGGCTGGACTTCCCCGCTGCCCGGGAAACTGCCTTGTGGAGGCCCTCCCACAAACGAAGCAAAGTAGATGGCACAATTCCACGCATGACCTTGCCAAGCAGCCCGCTTCGACTTCCTCCATAACTGCCTGGTTGGGCTTCTTGTCTGCCTGGAAAAATATCCTACTTACCTGGTTGCAGCTTGTGTGGCTGGACTTCCCCGCTGCCGGGAAACTGCCTTGCGGAGGCCCTCCCACAAACGAAGCAATTCCACGCGTGGGCTTGCCAAGCAGATCTCGACTTGGACTTCCTCCATAACTCTCTGCAAGGCTGCCTCAGCCCTCTGCTTGCCTGGTGGGCTTCTTGTCTGCCTGGAAAAATCTCGTACTTACCTGGCTGCAGCTTGTGTGGCTGGACTTCCCCGCTGCCCAGGAAACTGCCTTGTGGAGGCCCTCCCACAAACGAAGCAAAGTAGATGGCACAATTCCACGCGTGGGCTTGCCAAGCAGCCCGGCTTTGATCGGCTTGGACTTCCTCCATAACGCAAGGCTGCCTCAGCCCTCTGCTTGCCTGGTTGGGCTTCTTGTCTGCCTGGAAAACTCTCGTACTTGTGGAGGCCCTCCCACAAACGAAGCAAACTAGATGGCACAATTCCATGCGTAAACTGCCAAGCAGATCTCGGCTTGGGCTTCCTCCATAACTCCCTGCAAGGCTGCCTCAGCTTCCCTGGTTGGGCTTCTTGTCTGCCTGGAAAAATCTCGACTTACCTGCCTGCAGCTTGTGTCGCTGGACTTCCCCGCTGCCCGGGAAACTGCCTTGTGGAGGCCCTCCCACAAACGAAGCAAAGTAGATGGCAAAATTCCACGCGTGGGCTTGCACTCTTTGGGCTTCTTGTCTGCCTGGAAAAATCTCGTACTTACCTGGCTGCAGCTTGTGTGGCTGGACTTCCCGCTGCCCGGGAAACTGCCTTGTGGAGGCCCTCCCACAAACGAAGCAAAGTAGATGGCACAATTCACGTGGGCTTGCCAAGCAGCCCGGCTTCGATCTTGGCTTGGACTTCCTCCATAACTCCCTCTGCTTGCCTGGTTGGGCTTCTTGCCTGCCTGGAAAAATCTCGCACTTACCCGGCTGCAGCTTGTGTGGTTGGACTTCCGCGCTGGCCCTCCCACAAATGAAGCAAAGTAGATGGCACAATTCCACGCGCGGGCTTGCCAAGCAGCCCGGCTTCGATCTTGGCGTGGACTTCCTCCATAACTCCCTGCAAGGCTGCCTCAGCCCTCTGCACAAATGAAGCAAAGTAGATGGCGCAATTCCACGCGTGGGCTTGCCAAGCAGCCCGGCTTCGGTCTCAGCTTGGACTTCCTCAATAACGCTGCCTCAGCCCTCTGCTTGCCTGGTTGTCTTGTCTGCTTGGAAAAATCTCGTACTTACCTGGCTGCAGGGACTTCCCCGCTGTTCGGGAAACTGCCTTGTGGAGGCCCTCCCACAAACGAAGCAGAGATGGCGCAATTCCACGCGTGGGCTTGCCAAGCAGCCCGGCTTTGATCTTGGCTTGGACTTCCTCCATAACTCCCTGCAAGGCTGCCTCAGCCCTCTGCTTGCCTGGTTGGGCTTCTTGTCTGCCTGGAAAAATGTCGTACTTACCTGGCTGCAGCTCGTGTGGCTGGACTTCCCCGCTGCCCGGGAAACTGTTTTGTGGCGGCCCTCTCACAGACGAAGCGAAGTAGATGGCACAATTCCACGTGGGCTTGCCAAGAAGCCCGCCTTCGATCTCGGCTTGGACTTCCTCCATAACTCCCTGCAAGGCTGCCTCAGCCCTTTGGTTGCCTGGTTGGGCTTCTTGTCTGCCTGGAAAATTCTCGTATTTACCTGGCTGCAGCTTGTGTGGCTGGACTTCCCCGCTGCCCAGGAAACTGCGTTGTGGAGGCCTCCCACAAACGAAGCAAAGTAGATGGCACAAGCAGCCTGGCTTGGACTTCCTCCATAACTTCCTGCAAGGCTGCCTCAGCCCTCTGCTTGCCTGGTTGGGCTTCTTGTCTGCCTGCAAAAATCTCGTACTTACCTGGCTGCAGCTTGTGTGGCTGGACTTCCCCGCTGCCCGGGAAACTGCCTTGTGGAGGCCCTCCCACAAACGAAGCAGAGATGGCACAATTCCACGCGTGGGCTTGCCAAGCAGCCCGGCTTTGATCGGCTTGGACTTCCTCCATAACTCCCTGCAAGGCTGCCTCAGCCCTCTGCTTGCCTGGTTGGCCTTCTTGTCTGTCTCGTACTTACCTGGCTGCAGCGTGTGTGGCTGGACTTCCCTGCTGCCCGGAGAAACTGCCTTGTGGAGGCCCTCCCACAAACGAAGCAAAGTAGATGGCACAATTCCACGCGTGGGCTTGCCAAGCAGCCTGGCTTCGATCTTGGCTTGGACTTCCTCCATAACTCCCCGCAAGGCTGCCTCTGCTTGCCTGGTTGGGCTTCTTGTCTGCCTGGAAAAATCTTGTACTTACCTGGCTGCAGCTTGTGTGGCTGGACTTCCCCGCTGCCCGGGAAACTGCCTTGTGGAGGCCCTCCCACAAACAAAGCAAAGTAGTAGCGCAATTCCACGCGTGGGCGATCTCGGCTTGGACTTCCTCCATAACTCCCTGCAAGGCTGCCTCAGCCCTCTGCTTGCCTGGTTGGGCTTCTTGTCTGCCTGGAAAAATCTCGTACTTACCTTGGCTGCAGCTTGTGTGGCTGGACTTCCCCGCTGCCCGGGAAACTGCCTTGCGCAGCCCTCCCACAAACGAAGCAAAGTAGACGGCGCAATTCCACGCGTGGGCTTCCCAAGCAGCCCGGCTTCGATCTCGGCTTGGGCTTCCTGCAAGGCTGCCTCAGCCCTCTGCTTGCCTGGTTCGCCTTCTCGTACTTACCTGGCTGCAGCTTGTGTGGCTGGACTTCCCCACTGTCCGGGAAACTGCCTTGTGGAGGCCCTCCCACAAACGAAGCAAAGTAGATGGCACAATTCCATGCGTGGGCTTGCCAAGCAGCCCGGCTTTGATCTTGGCTTGGACTTCCTCCATAACCATAACTCCCTGCAAGACGGAAAAAACTGCGAAGCAAAGTAGATGACGCGTGGGCTTGCCAAGCAGCCCGGCTTCGACCTGGGCTTGGACTTCCTCCATAACTCCCTGCAAGGCTGCCTCAGCCCTCTGCTTGCCTGGTTGGGCTTCTTGTCTGCCTGGAAAAATCTCGTACTTACCTGGCTGCAGCTTGTGTGGCTGGACTTCCCCGCTGCCCGGGAAACTGCCTTGCGGAGGCCCTCCCACAAACGAAGCAAAGTAGATGGCACAATTCCACGCGTGGGCTTGCCAAGCAGCCCGGCTTCCCCCTACAAGGCTGCCTCAGCCCTTTGCTTGCCTGGTTGGGCTTCTTGTCTGCGTGGAAAAATCTTGTACTTACCTGGGCAGCTTGTGTAGCTGGACTTCCCCCGCTGCCTTGTGGAGGCCCTCCCACAAACGAAGCAAAGTAGATGGCACAATTCCATGCGTGGGCTTGCCGAGCAGCCTGGCTTCGATCTCGGCTTGGACTTCCTCCATAACTCCCTGCAAGGCTGGTTCAGGCCTCTGCTTGCCTGGTTGGGCTTCTTGTCTGCCTGGAAAAATCTCGTACTTACCTGGCTGCAGCTTGTGTGGCAGGACTTCCCCGCTGCCCGGGGGGCTGCCTTGTGGAGGCCCCACAAACGAAGCAAAGTAGATGGCACAATTCCATGCGTGGGCTTGCCAAGCAGCCCAGGCTTCGATCTCGGCTTGGACTTCCTCGAAGGCTGTGCTTCCATAACTCCCTGGCCCTCTGCTTGGCTGGTTGGGCTTCTTGTCTGCCTGGAAAATCTCGTACTTACCTGGCTTCCCCGCTGCCCGGGGGGCTGCCTTGTGGAGGCCCCACAAACGAAGCAAAGTAGATGGCACAATTCCGGGCATGCACTTGCGGCAGCCCAGGCTTCGAAAGACATGGAAGGAACCCACATCAGCTGGCGGGACTTCCTCAAAGGCTGGACTTCCTCAAATCAACTCCGCTACCTGGGAGCCTTGTGGAGGCACTGCGGCACAACTCTAAATGCAACCATTCCCATCAGCCCAAACCGTGACTTGGCCCCATCGTAACATACACAAAGAGCGGCAGCCTTTGGCGAGCGAGTGAGTGAGTGAGTGAGTGAGAGTGAGTGAGTGAGTGAGTGAGTGAGTGAGTGAGTGAGTGAGCCAGTGAGCGAGCGTGAGTGGACGCACTGAATTGTGCCATAAATTATTCTTAGGGGGCTAAAAAATTGTGCCATCTATTTTGCATCCCGGCTGACCCCCAATTATCTGGCGCCGGCGCGCGGAGTGTAATTATCTAAGTTGAAGAAAAGTAGATGGCACAGACCATTTTTTTGAGCCATCTATTCTCCGGGTAGAGTATTGATCAGAGGAGCAAGCTGTTCTTGCTTAATTATTGAGCTCGTTACATTGATTTGGTCCCCTCCTGGAGGAGTATTAGGGGGTGTTGCTCGAAAAAACAACAACAACAGTGGAGCTACCGCTAAGTCACGGTGGAATGGTAGTCGGCATGGGATTGTCTCAACGTCGGTGTCTCTGAAGAGAAACAAATAGGAAGCCACCAACGCAAGGGGGTTCTCCCTTATACAGAAACGCCCAGGCAACCCAAAGGAACACTGACCAAGGCATCTCCACTTTGAGAGCAACCCAACTCCACTTGGGATCCCTGTCTGAACACCAGACTGGGCTGATCCTGAGCTCGTCTCAAGAAAGGTCATGAACTAGAAGGGCCCAAGCCCCGGTTGGTTTGTGCCACGGGGGGAACTGTTGCAAAGTAGACCTAATTGGCCATTCAAAGTAACAATAATTCAGAAGGCAGTTTCGGACAGGGGTTGGCAATAATATCACATGATGGTTACAGCGTACTTATCTGATGTGAGTTAAATATGGTTCAATCACTGGATCTGTCATCGCAACAATCCCTTGTTTAATCATGAGCCAATTCTGTTGTTTTAACCGCCTTCTGTTGGTTGTCCACTAAACTTCGTAGGCCTCTCAGTGGGAATTTGTCGCAAAACTCTCAATTAACTCAAAATCAGGATAACCTCAAACCCCCAGTTTGCCAAGAGAAAAACAAGAGAAAAAACAAACCACACATCTGCGGTCCCCTTTTGTTCTCCATTCTGAGCGGACGTTTTTCTTCACAGACTCCGCCTTGCGCGCCCGCCCGCCCGCCGCTGGGCGGTCCGGGCGCAAGATCTTGCTCCCCAAGCTGCGGTGCACCACGTGGCTGAACATGGCGAAGGTGAGCAGCGCCTAGTCCGAAGGGGAAAACGAAGCAACCCTGATACACGGCTGAAACTATGGATGAACCTATTTGCACTGCGGACTACTCAAGCAATCCATCATCAACTTATTATTATATATATATGTGTAACTTTATACAACATAACCAAAGGTTTTATACAATATAAACCTGCACCATGGCGTTGTAGATTCACTTTGGGTACTCCCCGGCAGACCAACGTGGCAAAAAAGGACCTTGTTTACGAGGGGCTTCTCTTCGAGAAAGCCCACTTTGTGGGTCCCTGTTTCATTTGCAGGGTCCCTGTACCATTTCCGGACTCTTGACAGGGTCTGAAGCGGATGTGTGGAAGCCCTAGGTGCAAAAAAGGGAATGAGGAAGTGGATTGTTCAACTGTCACATCGGGAGAATGATTTACTGTTCGAGTAAAACCAATTGTTGCCAAGGCCGATTTTCACCTAGGTCCTCCAGTAGAGAGGTGAGAATAAGGGTATCAACAATTTTTGTCTGTAGTCTATTTTAGTAGTTTGGAACCCTCCCAACCAAAAAAGAAACGGTAAAAGGGCACCAAGCAGGGGGACCTCGTCACAGTTGCCCTGTGGACAACTATCACATTGAATCGGGTTGCAAGCCCTCTACATGACCATAATACGAGGTGTGGGTCAACTCACGCAGTGCTTTTTTTTTCAGAGGGAAACCATAGGCCGAAAGGTAAAACAAAGCTGCCTTGGTCTTCCAGGACCCTGAAAAAGCAGTTGCCTTTGGCGGATTTTCGCTTTTTCAACCAAGAGCCAAATCAAGAAGGAGCCTTGTTCGCGCCCTTGGAAGACCAAGGCTGGTTACCGGGTTACCATGGTCTTGTAATGTATGTGCAAGTTGTCTTATAACTCCAAAAGCTAAACTAAGAATCGGATCTCCAAGCAAAGGACATCTTCTAGCACGGCTTTCGCTCGTGAAAAAGCCGTGAATCGGTGAGCTCGCTCCGAGCCTCCCTGGAACCATTTGGACATCAACAGCGCGCACACTGTGAGGGCCAGGCACCCCGGCACAGCCGGTTCCAATCCAAGTCGCTTGACGAAAGTGGACGGGAGCGCACGCCGCGCCCTTTTTGGGAAAGCAAGGCGATGACAAAAGAAAACAAAAAGAAACGGGCAGGCAGGGCGGCTATACATCTAGGGTACCCTTGGATAAGCAGTCGTGGCCAAATACATATTGTACAAATACACATTGAATTAATTGGGTCATAACTAACCAACATGCATGAAGTGAACTTGTACCCTGAAGACATACGATCTGTCCTCAGCTTCCCCGTGCTGAGCGCCAGACATTGCTCATCACCGCGATCACCTCGGGAAGAGCAGAAGCACGAGTGCTCACGTTGCCGGAAAAACACACTAACGTCAACCCCGGATTGATGAATTGTGTGCTGTTCAACAAGGGGTAAAACCCATTTTAGTGGGAATCCTTCACCTTTTTTGTTGGGCCCGACAAGCCCCCTTTTAGTGGGACGGGCTTACTGATATGGAGTTCCCATCGATTCCAATACTGGCCTTCCTGTACCCATTCCTGGCCCCAACTCGGCGGTGGCACGCATGTGTATGTATATATATATATATATGTATATATATATATATATATGGTCCCCCCATGATCCACACCTAGAACATTCTGTGGTATGCAATAAAACACTGTAATTTCACAGTGTCTGTACGTGTGTACACATATGTGTACACTTCCGCATCTCCAGCTCGAAAATCGCAACTTCTCAGTACAAGTGTCGTATTTACAGAGCCGTGTGTTAGTTAAGGGTTATCGTTTTTGGGGGAGACCTTATCGTGTTCCATGGTTTTGGCATGTGCTATGCAAAAACGTACCCCGCCTTGATAAAGTGGTCTTCGTGTGTTTTGTCCGTGGCTCATATATATATATGTATATATATATATATAGGCATATGTGTACGAACAACATGGAAGAATTGGGTGTGCGTTTGTTTTGGGCGACCCCACAACAGGGCAGTGTCCTCTTTTTGTCGTCTTTGAAACAACCGAAGAACGGGCTCCCAATTCTGGAGGAGACCTTTGCGCATCTCCAGGATAAACTAGGTCCTCCAGTAGAGAGGGTAGAAGAAGTTGGTACCCGATGTTTGTTCTATAGCCTATTTTAGTAGGGGAACCCTCCCCCGACAAAGCTTTGTTGGGTGAGAAAGGGCACTGGGGGGCCTAGTCCAGGATAAATAATTGGTCGAGCCAAGTTCCACGAAAGTGGACAGGGACTACGACGCCAGTGACGTCGTCCCAGTTGGCTCTGGCTTCCATGATTCCACCCTTCGTGGGCAAATTGAGAACACTAAGCATACACACTCAGCCTACTGCGGGCTTCCTTTGGCTCAACCCCGTGGGGATCAAACATGCGCACACGCGCACACAAAGAAAAACAAAGGTCAACTTCAGTCCGCAGAACAGTCCATCTTTGGAGGGGTGTCCCCTGATTGACATCGTCTGAAGAGGAATACTTCGAAGTTCATACTACGCCCGCACAAAACCCGGGGAAAGAAATGCGCTCTTTCCTTGGTACTTGAATTTACAAGGGACACGCCCTGCCAGATGATTGAACCACCAGGTAAACTAGCAATCACCCGCAACTGTACAACCAAACCAAACCTTTTCAACCAGACCAACAACTAACACCAACCCATTAAAACAAAAAGAACCCCTACCCAAACTCGCTCGTACAAACCAAACCCACCATCAAAAGCAAACATTGGACGCCGAAAACCCGAACAAATCGGACACCTCTGGGCCTATGGATGCGGCTTGGTCTCCGGGCGGTGGTGGAAAAGATGTGCATCTGCAAGGTGAGATGGGCCGTAAAGGCCAAGGAGTACCTCCGATTGTTTTTTTGCTTCTCATCCCCAGCTCTCGGGTGGGTTTCCTGAATGGCATGGGGTGTGGCGGTGTTTGGTTGGTCCTCTTTTTGCTTTGTTCTTTTGCTTTCTGTTTTTTCTCGTGTGTTTAGACAAAAAAAGCAAAACTAGATCCTCCAGTAGAGAGGTTAGAACAAGAGTACTAACTTTGTTCTGTGGTCCATTTTAGTAGGGAACCCTCCCGCACAAAAAAGGTGAGAAAGAGCACTACCGGGGGACCTAGGAAACCAACCTTTGGAGGGTCCCCAAGCTACATGGGAACTGAAGGGCTCCCTCTAAGTTTGGAAGCTGCCCCGGAGCTTCAGCTCGGGTTGATTCTGCCACCGGACCCCGGCACCGAAGGGGAACAAGAGCATAGCTGGCCCTTTGGAAAAGTAAATGCGGGTCTGGTAAATGTAACAAACCCCGTCTAAACCCGTGCCAGGTAGTTTTTTTGGCCAAACTGACACCTATCAAGAGGAGGCTGCTTAACAGGAGCCTCAGGAGCCCCCTAGGGCCTTGAGCCCCCAAAGGCCCCAACTCATGAGGTCTTGGGCTCCTAGGTGGTTCAGCATGCTTCAGAAAGCCCAACCCTGCGGCACATACAGCAAGTGAGGCAAAAGATCAGCATGACCTGGCGATCCGCGGAAAAAGGGCCAAGATGGAATTCAACGGCTTCTAGTTGGTGTTTCTTGAACAACCAAAACAAAAGTCCCCCCCCCCCACAACAAGAGGACCGCAGTCCTTGTCGTGTTTCGGTGTTCCTAGCATCCTGAAGGCATATTCGAGACCTGGGTTCACGGACGAGTTTTCAGACAACTTGCCCTTCCGGAACCCGCATGTTCTGAGGTTCCGGACTTATGATACTACATGATGATGGATGTGTTTATGTTTCATTCTGTTATTTGTGTTGCAGCCCGGCACTCACCTATACTTGCTCATTGATGTTGACCCCTCAAAACAGCCGTTTAGAACCACTAAGATAGGGACTCTTGGAATAAACACCCCATAGACTAGACGCAGAAGAGTAACAGGGGTTCAGCAGTGCAGCTTGCTGTGACCAGAAATCCATCTGTTCCCCTTGAGCTCCAGGGATTTCTCGTGTCGCAACCAGGGGAGGCCCGCAATTTGTTCACTCGGAAAAGCAAGCAAGAGGTGTGCGTAGGGGGAAGTGGGCAGTGGGCAGTTGAATGCCAACCCCCAACTTATGAAACAAAAACCTGAATCATCGAATCCCAAGAAACGGAAACCCAGGGAAGCCCAAACCAAAGGTCATCTTGCAAGCCTTCTGATTCTGGGAGCTCGCTACCGCAAATGGGACCCGTCCTTCATTTCAAAAGTTACACCCTTGGATTCTTCGGGAGAAATCCCCCAGTTTTGACCAAAGCCCGTCCATGCCCAGGCTTGCGAACCTCAGTGACCCTGGAGACCACAAGTCTTGCTGTAGTCCGCCACTATCGGGGAACCAGGCAAAAGAGAAACACGCATGACGTGCCAAACAAGGGGGACCCTCAAAATGGTTTCGGCGCTCCTTTGGATTTTTTGTCCGGATACCCTGGGGTTCAAGCCTCAATAACATAATTATTGACCCAATTTGGATGAAGAACATTCTGAAAGGAACATTTCATGGTGGTTGTATTAACCCAACCATTCTTTTGATGGTGGTAATTGAAATCCAGGGGATTGCCCCAGCCCCACGCAAATTCCGAGGGGATCTAAAACCAAACTGCCCCAGGCAGTGAAACGAGTGAACCGCCCCAAGCTTCGACCCGGTCTCGTTCCCGGTCCGACGCACCTTGGGGCCGTAAGGGAAGCGAAAGCTCTGGTAGAGCAAAAGAGCACCAGCCACGGGGATGGTGGTCAACACCTCGCGAGGCTGACGCGTCAAAAACGCGTGATCTCAAGAAATCGTGTGATCTGGTGCGAGAGATAGGTCCTCCAGTAGAGAGCTTAGAATAAGGGTACCCATTTTTTTCTGTAGTCTATTTTAGTAGGGCAACCCTCCCCCAAAAAATTGCAAAAGGGCACTACTGCGAGACCTAGGATAGCTAGGTGATGTGGGAATGAACCCCAAGAGGATTCCCTAAACAAGGAAACCACCAGTTGGATAAGGGTCCACCAGCAAAATGATTGGTTTATGGGGAACTCAATGTGTATCTTACGATCAAGTTAGGGAATGAACCCCAAGCGGATTCCCGACATAAGGAAACCACCAGTTGGATGGTTTTAGGGGTCATGTCATTTCCCATTCCCTGCTTCTCGCACCAGCATGAGAAATGGATTGTGGGGAACCCAATGTGTATCTTACGATCAAGGTAAGGAATGAACCCCAAGCGGATTCCCGAAAAACTGAAACCACCATTTGGATGGTTTTCAGGGGTCATTCAATTTCTCACTTCCTGCTTCTCGCACCAGCAAGATAATTGGATTTGGGGAACTCTATATGTATCCTATGATCGCGACTCAGCACCCCACACCCCTAAAGACCAATGATTTGGCCCTTGTAAGACTTGAAACACAATAAGTTGCTCCGTGATTCACCGTCACAGCAGAGTCCCTTGGGGACCAAATCTGGTTGGAACCCGGAAGGATCTTGCGGATCGCCCTACTCAGAGCGTATGCCACGAGGGCTAAACGAACATGCTTGGGCCAACATGTTTAAGACTGTTCAAACAGCCTCCTTTTGGTTTCTCTCCAACGGGGCACCGGGGCTTGGTTCTTCAAACACGGTTTGACCAATCCTGCCTACAAAGCACAATGAGAGGCCTTGCAGAACATGCCCTGCCTTGGAAAATCCCTCTGCGAGGTCCCCGCACGACAAATGGGCCCTGCTGCGTGGAAAGACCAGGGTGCTCTGCCACAAGGGTCTGAACTTGAGTTTCGGTGCGCATCATGTAACACGGCTGTGGGTCAAAACGAAAAAAGCAAGTGCCATTAATTAGTGGTTGGATTGGGATCTTCGCTCTTCCGGGCTTTTGACCCATGGCCACATGGGGACGTTTTTTTTCGTCCAGCCACCGGGGCTTCGGTTTCGAGACCTGGGCCGTAGGGCGCTCCAGAACTCCCCCACCACGTTGCTCACCACATAGTTGGGCTCCGGGTGATCCCAGTCCTCAGAAAAAGTCGAAAGCGGGGCCGTGCCGGGGGGGGGGCTGACCTCGTGCCATGTTTTTTTTGTTGTTGTTGTTGTTTTTTTTGGTTTTGTGTTTTTGTTTATTAATTTTATATATTTTTTTGACCAGAAGAGGTACCCTCCCTCCCACATAGCACCTGGAGAGCGCCTGGAAGTAGGTCCTGTAGAGAGGAGAGAATTAGGGTACCAACTTTTTTTCCGGAGTCTATTTTAGTAAGGGAACCCTCCCCAAAAAAAGGGTAAAAGGGCACTTCTGGGGGACCTAGTGCTATAACATAGAGGTAAAAGCATTTACTTAAGACTCCCCAGGGAGGCAAAAGCATTTACTTAAGACCCCCCCCCAGGGTGCATTAGACAAAAACCTGCGCAGTCCAAGTGGTTGACAACAGAAGCAGAACAAGAGCCGGCCAGTATTCGGAGACGTAGCTTCTACAACCAGTGCACTATAAAAGTACGGCCACTACATGTGCTTGACCTAAGCTTCTACGCCTTTCCCATCTTGGACCTTCTAAACCTCTGCTTAGGCAAGTGGAGTCCGACACGTATCGCTGCAGCAGCGACCTTCTAATGGGGAAACATGTGCCGTGTTTGCGTGCAATCTTTGGAGAACCATGTGGGGAGAACGAGGTAAACACAACCGTGAGCAAACACCTGATCTGTCGTCCCATGAGAAGCCCCCCATCCATACATGTAATGTTCCCTTGCATCCACAAAGACAACGGGCCCTCCTTGGCTTCCCCAAAGGCGTTCCTCCCTCCCCCGCACTGCAGCGTGGTCACCTGAAATGGTTCAAGGCGGTCCTCTCCCCCAGCCCCCCCGGACCCACCGCTTTTGGGGGAGTGTGGCACACATCGAGGAAGTCTTCGCCTTTTCGGGGAGCCATAGATAAATTAGGCAATACATGTATGTACATGTATATATATATATATGCATGTCTATCCCAGAGGGTTCAAGTACGTTCTCAGACCCGATTTTAGCCCCAAAAGCCATCCTCAGGAGGTACTAGATTATGTATACATGTATATATACATATATATATATATACATATGTGTGTGTGTGGCTAAATATTTGAGCTAACAGCAGGCTCCTCTAAGAACGGCATTGGTTTTCAGGCACACAACCTCATCACCACCCCAGACTGGTTCTCTCATCTCTGAGCTGCAGGCAGAGGGCAACGTGCCCCAAAATCCGCCCTGGCGGATGGCGCAAGGTCCATGGCATAGGTGTCCTTTTAGGGAAATAGATGGATATCCCTGGTAGATGATTAAACCAGTAGGTAAACCAGGAATCGCCATGTATTGTGCGAGCCAAACAACCAAAAAGGACACCTATGCTCCATGGCCTACCATCCTCCGTAGGAAATGCACCTTCCGGGTACCCTCCCAAAGGTGCAATGTTAGTGGGGGAAAGGGAAAACTGATTCAATCTAAACTCCAAAAGATTAACCTTTTGGCACCCTACATGAATTAAGCATGGAAAACCAAAAGGTGAAGAGGTCGACTTTGAACAACTGAGAACTAAATTCTGCAAATCCCGTGGGACGTTCCAACTGACCTAAGGATGTGCGGCGTAAGTATGCTCAAAGCTCAAAGCTTGATCTCGCATAAGAGGCCCCTTTACCCCACTCTCCATTGGACCTGCCCTTTCTCACCCTTTTGAGAGGACGCTAGTCTCCGAAAGCCCTTCCACTTCTCAGACAAATTGGTAATTAAGTCCTGAGGCCTAAACCCTCAAACACGTTTGGGTGCTTCCATTGAGCCCGAGCCAAAACATGCCAGACCTAAGCCACAAGAAACTCCCGAGCCCCCCGCCCCCCCACCAGGCGGGGAGTGGTGGGGGGGCGGGGAGCACATTGCGAAAACTTCCGATCGACTGGCTCCAGGAAAAGTCCAAACTGGTTGTTTGCCAATGGGCATACAGGAAAACTATCAGTCCAGCTCAGGGAGTGAGATTCACATGGGAACCTCAACAACCATCAGTTTTAAAGACATCTCCTCTTAGTCCCCCTTGTTGGGTTCCTTCCGTGATTGCAAATATGCAACCACCAAAGTAAGGGACTCTCATGGGTAAGTGGAGTTGTGCTAGCTGAGAGCTTGGATCCTATGGATTGTTTTCCGAAGGGCTGCAAGCCTTTAGGGGCGTGGTGTTTTGCTGATCGAGGTTGAACACTTAGAAACATGTCTGACACCTTATTCGCTCGTCTTGCCGCACGTTCTTCCACTCTATATAATACAATGTTCTGAGAGTTGGGAATGGGACAAACTGTTTTGAGGTTGACAACACGGTGGAACCGCCTTAGCATGCAGGCGTGAGCCTCTTCAATCGAAGTAACAGTCCTAAAGAATGGAATCCTGTTTGTGGTGTTTTGATGTTTTGAGGGACAATAGAAGGGAACCAGCAAAAATAATAGACACCACAAACAAAATGTATCGCAGCTCGCAGTAGTTTGTCAGGATTTCTCCGAACAACCGTCTGAAAGGAAGCGTCACGAGTCGCGAGGTTTCGGTCACCCCCCTTCATGTGTTTGGTTTTGTCTCAAAATGGAGGTATGTCAAAATTTACGAAACCCCATTTAAGTGGGTGGTTTCCTTCTGGACCCTCAAACTAAACGTGCAAATAGGGAATCAAGTTTTAGACCTTGATACCTCCCAGAACCAGTCAAGAACATGACCCTAATGTGAACTTCGCACAAATCCGGGTCATACTAGTGATCTAGTGGGTGGTTCCCCTTTTAGACAGGACAATCATCCATTTTAGGTCTCACCTCCTGAGTCGACTGGCCCAACAAATCCAAACTGGTTCATTGCCACCTAGGTCCTCCAGTTGAGAGGTTAGAAAAAGGTTGCCCGTTTTTCTGTAGTCTACAGAAGGGAACCCTCCCGCCAAAAAAGAAAACGGTAAAAGGGCACTACTGGGGGACCTAGCCACTAAACTGGTCGCCCAGGAAGTGACTAAAGGGCAACTCAGGGCGTGAGAGGTTCAAGTCGACAGGGGGGTCTGTTTGCCACCTTTTCTGGAAAATGGTTCGACCCCCTCGCAGTGAAGGCTTCCCTTTTAAGGGGGTCGAAAAACAAATTTCTCCCACATGGCAAACAAAAACAACAACAACCTGCAACTCAGGGAGGAAGAGGCTCTCAGTTCGCTCTCAGTCGAGTGCCACTTCTCGCCGCGCCTCGGCGCCAGGCTTGGCCTGGGCGGCTGACGCCAGGTGGAGCGCAAGCAGCGCGCCGCACCAAAGGGACACCACGCAGCCGGCCACGCCCAGAACCTCCCAACGGGTGACGCCGGGGCTTAAGAGGAGTCCAGTGAAGCCACCCCCAATAGAAGTGTTGTGCGGTGAAAAGAACCCCCCCTTTGAAAACCAAAGCCTGACACCAGGATGAAAGTAGATGACACAAACTGCTTTCTGTGGGTAAGGGAGATTACTAAACCAATACTCGGTGGCTTTCTGCTCCCCTGCTAAACGCTTTACTTCTAGTGGTTTAATGAAATGGAAAACCCATTAGTTGGCAAAAAAAAAGTCCTAACATCCAAGCAAAATGCACCAAAGAACATGTGGGAATTGTGCCAGCTACTCTCAACAAACTGTACGAGGGGTGTCGGGTGCAACAATGGTTTGCCTCAAAAAGAAGAAGAAAAAAACGACAGATATCGGTTTCCTTTTGGCTCTGCTGTTTTCAGCAGCCAAAACGGGGTTTTCCCACAAAAAGACAACCAAACAGAGGGGGTTCGTAACCCCATTGACATGCAGAACTCATGCTTCCATCCAAGGATCGGTTTCGGTCTCATTGGAGATGGCTACGCAAAGAGTGAAAGTGGTGTGTTGTCAAAGGTGCGCCATAATTTTGGTATATAGCCCCTTCAACAAGCGGCGCAAGGTGGCACCACGGCCCATCCTTTTTCTGCAGTGGACAGTGGCAATCATTGATACCATTGACCGTTGCCCTTTTCCCAATAAGATTGCCGTGTGCCACTTCTTTACTAACACAAAGCACACCACGCTGAAGTACGAAGCCAACAGTCAAATCAAGCCAAGCAGTAGGTCAATCCAAGCTGCGGGAGCAATGTCCCCAGCCATCGTCTGTCGTTTCGAAGCACTCCTTGCCGCCTTTCCCCTTGGCCTGAACAACCTGCAGTCATAGGTGTCCTTTTAGGGCAAATAGATGGCCCCGGTCGATGATTAAACCACCAGGTAAACCAGGGCAATCTATTTTCTAGCAAAACAACCAAAAAGGACACCTATGCCTGCAGTGTCAAGCGGTTGCTTGTGTTTGTTCAATTGTGACACTGACTACTTTTTCGGGAAGTGGCCACAAACTGGTCATTGTCGCAATCGAGCAGCTTTTGAGAAACGAGCACATTTCGGTAAAAACGAAGAGGTTCGTTACCTTTGAAGCATTTTCGGGGTAGCTGGGCCTGCTGTTGAATTTCGTACTGCTAAGAACTGGAGGCAGCACCGGGACAGAAATTAAAAGCACGACCTGACCTTTTGTCTGACCATGTGTTACGTTTCAGAAAAAGAAAAAAGAAAAAGAAAAAACGTGACCCAACAATGCCGCAAGTTGAACGGACAAATCCGCACAACGGACGCACTCGAAAAGTGGTGAAACGCAGCACAGTCGCCTCATCAACTGGCAAACACCCCGGCTTAAATCCCGAAGTATCGTCGAGGGCAAACAACATCGTCAGCATTGGGTCGTCCATGCAAAACAACCTGCAAAGATTGCCACGACCCTTCTCCAAAACATCACCCTATGTTTTTCCAACTCGGCCCAAACGGCCCGTATTTGTTCAAATCACATCGGGCAAAAACAAGTGTTAACATGGAGTTGCAGGAATTCTGCTAACTGCCCCTGGTCAAACCCTAGGGTCAAGCCCGCATGTGCACCCGCCCGGAAAGCCCCCGTCCCGCCTCCCTTGCCTGCAATGACTCTGGCATCCTAAAATTATGTCAGAGCTATGGCTTACATTCGTTTTAGCGCCTACGCCTCTTCATTGGAAACTTCAAGGCTGCGCATGAGCCATATCAAGATGAGCCATGTGTATTTGTCTGAGGCAATGCTGCGGGAATCGCGGCCGGTGAGGTTTGACTTGAGCAGCACCCAAGACCCACTGACTTTTGCTTCCACCAACTATGAAGATTGATCAAGTCTTTGCCATAACCCCAACTAAAATTAGGCAGTAGAACCACCTACAAAAATGGCGAGGCATTTTGAGCGCTCATTTGCACACCTGCGACCTTTTGCTAAGCCCGGTTCCGATTTGCTCGCTAATTCAGGTCACCCTTTTCATTGGTCATTGGCAGGGTTACATCCTCGGGAAAGGGGAAACAGAACATATGGAACGAAACAGAACATATCGGAACGCAGCCTTACAGCTGAGGCTACTTCCCATGTGTATTGGAAGCGAACCGGGTCGCTGACAAATCCAAAAGTGTGGAATATGCTTGTTATTAAAACGTGTAGTCATCCAACATTGCCCAAGCAAAGCAGCACTCGCAAATAACAGAGCAACAAGCTTAGAAAGACTCATCTGCCGTTGTACACTCAAGAGGCAGTGTCCAAATCAAGTGATGTAACACTTACAGTCTGCTTACAGTGTTGCTCTTCAATGTGCACATGGCATCACATTGTTAACTATAAGTAGAATGCTGCTCGATTCCCCGCCAACACATACTTTGTCTTCAATCAACCTGGTGGTACAACAGGTGTCAAACCTTCGTCAAGGGATGGGCAAGCAAATGATGCATCCTGTCGACCTGGCACGTCCATTCAGGGCATCCCACAGTATCTCTACTTACCCCGCCGGCTAGCCTGGACGTTCCCAGGTATATAAGCCTTTAAAAAGGAAGAGATGTCCTTCCCAAAGGATGGGAGCTTTCCATGTCAGTAAGGGAGTATCTGCAAATTCTGCAGAACCTGAAAAACAGATCTCCAGGAAAAGGCCCTACTGCATGATGAGCTTCTGTTGCGCCAGGTGAGCAATGGCAGCTGGAATCATGAATCAACCTAAACACAAAGCCCTGGCCAAGACACAAATAGCAACTGATGAAGGCGTAAAACTCATGCTGAATCTGAACGGTCCTTTTGCGACTTTTCTCTTGAACAAGCTTGGAATACACCTAGAGGAATGAACTACCACTGTTCCAGGGGCGCAAAACAAGCTCCAGTAAAGTGAACCTGGACCCTCAAACGACCTTCAAAAAAGACAAACTATTGGGCACTAACCCATGTTTATGGGTAGTTTGAGGGTCCAGGAACAATTTTTCTATAGCAATTTCATCACTGTCGTGAGGTCTTCTTTGTTTGATTACCACATTTGTCCGAGGTCGACAAAGGATCATGATCCGCACGCATCGCCCGCCGCTCGTTTTGCTTTTGAAAGGTCCGCCAGCAATTCTCTGGTGAGCCTCCGGGTTGCCGCTCGCATGAACGTGAACAGGTCCATCATGGGTATATGCCAAAATCGGGGACCTTTGCATTGGTGGCTGCCCTCTTGGTTTCCCTTTAAAACCAAACAAAAAAAAAGAAGTACCCAACCAAAAAAAAAAAACACCAATGGGAGGGTATCTGGAGGTCACCCTGTGGATCTTGCAGTTAAAATAAGCCCTAAGGACTATCTGAGGATCTTGTGGCGCTCGACTGGTGGTTATTCTTTTGATTCCTTCATGTGGAATCCTGGCGAGTTCGTTCCCCGAACAAGCTCCAGGTGCAACAACGCAGAACTGCAAATCACAAAGATTCACAAGGACTTATGTCGTCATCCCCCTGAGAACTTGACCGGCTTTCGCTCGTTTCGTTTTCACCCCAAGGAACCCTTGTTGATTTGTCCAAATGAATGTCTCCTCCGAAACCCAGGGAAACCTTTCAAACCTTCTGGGCCTGCTGTAAAATCTAACATCGTAACATTCCTCACCCAAAGTTTAAAAGCAATGACTCCTAACGATGTGGATTGCCCGTTTACTGCCTCGATGTTCGAGCTTGGCATAAGATGAACAGTCATGCGAACGAGAGGATTTTGTTGTAGTCCACGGTCCAAAAATGGTGGCTTTCCTTTTGGTTTCGCTGTAAAACAACCTGAAATGGGTAGCCTCAATAACACAAACCTACGAGTACATGGACCATCATCATCCGAATCCTCGCACAACACCTCAACACTGGTTCAGACAGGGGGTGGTCGTTTGAAATTCAAATTTCAGCATTGATGCCTCAATCCCATGAGATGGCATCCTTTGCATGTTGGTCTAAATCAGCACCCAGGAAAGGATAAGGCAATAACATATTGCAGGGACATGTGAACAAACAAAAAACATGTGTCATCAAACAACGGTTTCAGGGGTCACAAACCAAACAAATCTAATAGGAGATAAACTATTCTACACAATCATGGCTGGCCAAACCTCATGCCATGCATATTCACATGTGGCCCGTTTCAAGTGATCAGGCTGGATCGAACCACTTGGAATATAGAACATGCAAACCGTGTGCTTTGTTCCTTTCGCGCACATGACACTCGTGTTGTTTTATTGGGTTGAGCGCTCAAGGTGGGAATTGTTTCCACCCTGCTCCCCCCCCGTCCCCCAACGACAGCTTCTTCCCATGTCCAAAACCCCCCCCCGTTGGGGGGTGCAGGTTGGTTGTCCTTCAGAGAGGCTCGGATTCACCCTATCTTCCACCTCAAATTATTCAACCAGGACTAATGTTGACCCCGGATGAATAAACCCCTGTTTATTTATATGGGGGTGTCCCCGGTTTTAATGGGTATTTATCACTGTTGGAGGGGCACACCCCCGTATTAATACACAGGGGTTTATTAATCCGGGGTCAACATTATTCAACCATGACTCGCCAAATCGACTACAGCTCAAGATCAGGGCGAACATTCTGAGGGGCCACCCGCTTACATCGCAAGCCAGTGGGTGTGAGCCCGGGTGGGGCCAACTCAGAACGAGCCACACTGACACCAAGGAGAAAAAACACTACTATTTCCCAAGACGTCTATGTCAACATCTGCCTTCCCGCAATCTGCGCAGCTTTGTTCAACAGTTCCAACCCCTGAAATCAGGAGTCCCCAAGGCCAGCTCGTTCCGCCCCGGAAAACTCCCGGTTCGCCGAAGAAAAAAACAAAACAACAAACAAAAAACGGCGGAACACACCGAGGGCGGCCCCCAAGGGCATCTGACTATTCCAAGCGGCTGCAATGCTTTCTCCTTGTCCTGCGCATTCAAAAGCATGGGCACCTTGCGTCTAGGAGCAAAGGAGCCATGAAACTCATGTGGGACATGATCATGCTTCCCACTTGAACCAAACAAAGGGTCCATTTCGATCTCAAGGGTCGATATGGATGACACATATTCTGTCTCAAAGCGGGGAACCCATATTCCATTGCGACCCGTTTGGTTCTGTCTGGACATAGGGAAGTGCTTGTATGGTTTTTGAAGGGATACCACAAAGACACAAACCACCTGAAAGGGTCTTTTGCGACACTTGGAATGGGCACTGGCAGTTTGTCGCTGCAAGCTCGGCTCGGGTATTGGAAGCCACAAGGCAAATTCAACTCGAGGGATTCAAGTACATCTAAAAAGGTGGCAAGCGGCAATGACGCTGCTTTCAGCATCCTCCTTTGGGGCAGTGGGTGATACTTTTCATGTCATCTTGTGTATTCCCCCGCTAAAAGTGACTATATTTTAGTGGTTTAAATGGAAACTACCACTAAAGACTAAAAGGCCAAGCTAAGGAACCGGATGGCTGGGAGCCACCAAGATTCCTGTGATTCCGCGCCAAGTACCAGGCCTCAACCCCCGTCCCCCCCGGCCAAACCGAAGCGGATCTTGCTCCTCGCTGGCCGGCCACTCCCCGCACTCGTGGAAGGCGTCCTCTCGTGCCAAGTTCCCCACTCCCCATTGGTGTGGCCCTTTTGGTACATGACATGATATGTGTATATATGTGTGTATATGATTAAATACAAATTGGCCAAAGTTCTCCACTCCCCATTCTCCTTGGTGTGGGGCCTTTCTGGTACAATAAATATGTTATATATATATATATATAATATTGTAAAATTGGCAAAGTTCCCCACTCCCCGTTCTACTTGTTTTGGCCCTTTTTGTCGGCCGTTGTTGTTTCCTTAAATCGCGCTGAAATCGGGGTACGACATCCACCGGAAGGTTTGGAATCATGACAAGTCAAACCTTGGACCCCAGCCTGGATTGCTCGGCATATTCGTTGACCCAGGATCTAAGTAGAACCCGTCCCATTATTAAGGGGGGGTGAAAACCCCTCCAAAGGTGGTCTGAATCCAACCACTAAAAGGGGACACCCCCCTATAAAACAAATCAACCAGGGGTTTATTAATCCGGGGTTTACATTAACGGTGGGGCAAAACCGCGAAGTCCGCCGTACGTTGTTCTCGGACACGAGCTTATGGCGCTCCTAACAGTTCACCCGATCAGTCAACTCATGTCTACAACTTTACACTTTTGCTCGCACGCATTGACACGCAAGCTGATAATTTCCTTGCATCGGTTGTTTAATGTAGATGCACATCCTCATCCCTCAAATCCCAGGATGGTTCCATAATGTTTGACTGCAACGCAAGAAGTGGACAAATTCCTGCTCACAACCCACATCCTGTAAACAATACCGCGAAACATGGACTTCACATCCCGAAAGCGCTCTAAACATCCTTGAAGTTGGAGTAAAACAGCCAAGGGGCGTGTGCCTCAAAAGGGAAAAGGCTCTCAAGGTCTCGCACAAAGAAGGAGGCAAAGATAGGCAAAGTCTCCTGCAAGGAGGGTCGCAGCAGCTCGGCCACATCATCCTCGCCTCCCAAAGGTGGCCAGGGCGGGAGCGTTTAAACTGTGGCGAGGTTCACTCTGACAACTCTGGAGGGGCCCTGAGAAGCGGAATGACCCCTATAAACCATCCACCATCCCCGATTTGATCTCTTTTAAGGGAATCCCTAGGTTCATTCCCAACACCCTAACCTTTCCCGATTTGGCTTCTCTTCAGGGAATCCCTGGATCCGGTTCATTCCCACCACCCGGAATAGTGATACCCTACCTATCACCAGCAAGAACATCAGAAACTGGAGATACGAAATATCTAAGGCTCATGTCATGCCCGGCCTGCCCCCTAGGCTTCCAACATGTGGATACATGAATTAGACAAGTGCACCAATCGCAGTTCTTGACATTCGGAGAGACCCTCCAAAACGTAAACTCTCGGCTCCGTAAGCCCCTCAATATTTCTTCAAGTCAGGCTGCACGAACAAGTCGACACTGGGTGTGCCGCAAAATGGTTGTTCCCCCTTTGCGGTTGGTGCGCAAAGGCCAACAAAAAGAGCATCTGCCATGTTTTGTTCAACTGTTAAGAAGCGCCATGGGCTTTCGGATTCGGGGGTCAACGAAAAATGCGTCGACGAGTGCCCGGAAAAAGCCCAGCGGTTCATCCACAAGGCGCCTCGTTCTGTCAACTCCGCACTCTCGGACAAAGCCGCAGCAGCCGCGTCCACCTGCTTCGGGTCTCCAGAGAACCCTTCGTGGGTGAATCGAATTTTCGTCTGGCGTCCGATCGAGTGGGTGGGCAAAAACAATCAACCAAACTTTGATCTCCTCCAGTGTAAAAGGGAGCCCTTTCTGGAGTGAATCATGTTGGTCTCACTCCAGATTGAGTGCATGCGCCCAAAAAAACAGAAACCAAACTGTTGGTTTCCCACTAAAATCGCCCTCCCAAAAAAGTGACCATGAACTCCATGAACTCAGGACGTGAGTAGTGGAGGCTCACGCAAGGGATTCGAATGCTTTGAACTGGGCAATAGAAACGGATTCGCAGGGTGAAGATTCAAAGCATAAGGACTGAATAAGCACCGTGCAATATGGCTATGGGTCAAAACCCCGTACCCCCAGTGAACCCCAATCCCCACTAGAATACACTAAATGGGTGGTGCACCTACCCCAAAATGGTACCATTGGTTTTGACCGACCCACGCCCATATGCAACTCATCTGTTGTCCGTCCATGTTGGAGAAAAAAAGCACGTGAAACTAGGACAGAATTGATCCTACAAAAGGTCTTGTTTAGGGGTAAACCGGGCCATAGATCCTGGGCACATTCCAAAGGCCAGCAGCTCCCCCCAACGCTTCTTGCTGCAGAAGCGGTCGCTCGCAAACGTCGTCCAGTTTTCGGCCCGGATTTGGGCCACCGCGCCGGGCACTGGCCGCCCTTCGGGCGCCCAGTTCGGAAGGCTTAGGAATGGTCAAACTGCGCTGGTCTCGTTTCGACTGCGCTTTCGTTTCGGGGGAAAAGGCAGAGAGGTCACATCTTGACGCTTTTTCTGGCAAATGCCCCCCCCACCAACAACTGTCAAACTGCCCGGAAAGATTGCCCAAAGGTCACTTGACAACCCATGTGATAGTCATTGGGGAGTTCTGATGAACCCAGCCGGTGACCCTTTTGTTTGGCCAAGGGCCTCTAATCCCTAGCACCCAGGGTTCCCTATAAGCATCACCCTTGCCCAAGGAAACTCACCTTCCAGGACACCAAAAGGTGATGTTTTACAACCGCCAAAGAGGGAAGTATAGGAGCCTGTGGCACTTGTCCCCGGCTTGTTTAGCTCCTTCCATTGTGCATAGCCACGTTTGGTCAGCAGGCTACGCCAGCACCCAGCAGTCCAGGAAAGCACAACGAGAACATGTCTAAGTTGAGGAAACTTGCTTGGCGGGCCAAATCTCGAACTACCTACAGGACTTGCTTTAAGGGCACGCCATAAGCTATAAGTATCAAACACTATCAAACACCATGAAGCACACACACACACCCCAACAGACACAGAAACAGACACAAACACGGACACACACACACACAACTGAAAAACAAACGCAAGTTAACCTTCCGGAGCAATAAGTCGAGGAACTGTAAATTGGACTCTCCTTTTCTTCAATCGAAAAAGAAACAAAAGAGTTCGAAGTCCAAGACATCGGATGATTCTTGGGGGAGCCAAGACGTTGGACTTTTCGGGGGCCCTTAGGCCGGGCTTAGGTTTGACCATAGCAAAGGCGCCAGCATCAGACTCTGGGGGAGGCCAGGCGCACCGCTTGCGCCGCTTGCGCCCCGCTGCCAGCGGGAAGCAGCTCTCGGAGTCGGGCGATCTCGGCGTCGCGCTCCTGGGTCGGGGCTTGGCACCGCTTTTGCATGGGAGTTCGTTCCGCATGAAGTCCTTGTTTGTTGGTATTTGCATGGGGATCATCACTCCAGGGGCAGGATTTCGTCCATCAGAAGTATCTTGGTTGACGTTGGAAGTTGGAAGGGGAGCAACAATTCTCAATTTTTAGAAGTTAAGTGGTTGGATTTCAACCACTAAGCCACGTTAAGTGGTTGGATTTCAAGCACTAAGCCACAATAAGCAAAAATGTAAGATGTGTCCCAACAACAACCATGTTTGGGGTTGTGGGGTTGGCAGAAAAGTGATTTTGGCTTGACCGGTCCTTTCTGGGGCTGACCAGTTTCTGGGGGTGATCAGGCTTTTGGGGTTGACAAGTGTTTAAAGGGCTCATTGAAATAAAACAATGCCAATGTCCACCAACACAACAACCATATCATTGCTCGACAAACCATATGTTTGATCTCCGGTGACCCAGCACCTTCCCACAGAACGCGATGAGCGCCTAAGAGTTGATCTGGGGTCGGCCCAGTTATAGAATGTATACTTTTATTGTTTGCTTCACATGGAGGCTCTGGTAAAATGTAAAATGTATCCTAAGTCTGCCCCAGGTGTCTAGATCAGGCAATCTTCGCAAATCAAGGTCTGGTTTTGGTGATTTTGTTGCTCCCACGAACTTGCACACCCCGCTCTCCAAAATCAAGGTTTCCAAACGAGGATTCACCTCAAGCTGCCCTGACCAAACAGTGTATATATGTATAAGCGCGTCTCATTTTGAGGACACTTTTGGGGTTTCACAGAAAATCAGAAGAAGAAAAAAAACACCATTCTGAAAGGTTTCCCTGTGGTTGAGGCAAATTGAGGCAAACCCATATTGTGGGTACCCCCCGCCCGTCCGGAACAACACACCACAACGCGGGGGTGCGCAATCAAAAAAAGAGACCCCATATGGGGGTACCAACAAGGAGGAAGCTTTCCGAGATGTGCCAAACAGCGTTATTCGACACTGGCGCCCCCAAATGTCCTCGAGCATGGCTTTCAGCGTCGCGATCTCCTCATCCTGCGCGAGAAGTTAACCTCTGTCCACGCCTGTGCGTGTCACCCTCCACGAAAATTGTGGGTGTTCCTTTTTGGTCTTTCCTTAACAGCATCCAAACATTGTACCAACTCCGAAAACAAACACAACCATAGGTGTCCTTTTGGGGCAAATAGATGGCCCTGGTAGATGATGAAACCACAAGGCAAACCAGGGCCATCTATTTTTTGACCAAAACAACCAAAAAGGACACCTATATGAACACAACCACAGAACACATCATGTTCCTCTGTCAACGAGTGGCGGGGGGCTTCGAACCAGCTGTCCTTGACCATACACTTGAGGCAGTGAGCCTCCTTGACGCCCTCTTGCACGCCTTTTTCAAAGACCACCTGACGGGGCGGGCGTGGGCAGTGGATGTGTGTGGGGCTGTCTCCCGGGATCTGCAAACTTTGCGAGACTTCCAAAAGGCGATCCAACGGATCCGCAGGAGGATCTTTATCGTTCCCCCGATCGGTGAGCTCGCGGTCAAATAGGCAAATGGAAAACCTCGCAAGGAGAGAGAGACGATGGCTAAGGCATGGCTAAGGCAGGCTCCCCAATTGAATGGGCCTCAAGTCGACCCGAAAAATGGGGGCTTCAGGCAGGTTTTTGCTTTTGTTCCCCGCTGAAACGTATCTTGGTGGCCCTCCCAAATGGGCCACAGACTGCTGGAAGACAGCCATGGCCAGCCCCCCTTTGCATCCATTGAACTTAACTGACGTTGTTTTTCCAGCTGGTGCTCAGTAGGGAATGACCGTTCCGGGTGTTGGGAATGGGATTCCCGCCAAAGGAAGCCACAGGGGATGGTTTTTTGGGGGCATTCCACTTCTCATTCCTTTCTGAGAACAGCAAGTTTTGCGCACGCCAGACTCGCGCCAGACTCGCGTTGCGTCGGGCCTCGAACTGCCGCTTGAACCAATTCACCAAGTGGCTCTTCACAACCTCAACTTCGCATCGGAAACCCCCCGCCCCGAACGCTTTAAGCCAGTCGAAGGAGAGTGAGCTCAAAAGTGATCCGGATCCCCTCTTAAAAGGCGCTCCCCTTTCATTCAAGCCATGGTTCATGACAAAACAAAGCAACCTGCGCATGGCCCAGAGCAACTAGCGACTAGCCAAAACTCCCTACTTGGAGTGTCCAAACAAAAACGGGTCTGACATGTTGGTGGGAATGGATGGGTTGTGGCAGGCAGTTCTTAAAACATAAGCATCATGCTGGCAAGACAAAAAGCGCCAGGGAATGAGAACTGTTGTAAGCATGCATGCAAGCATGCATGTACGTACTATGTATGCATGCATGTATTCATATATATATATATAATACACATATTCATGAATAAATAAAACAATGTGTACACATATATATATAGACATATATATATATATTACTAGCACGGGTAGGTTTCAAAATCAGCTGCCCCCACGAAGCTCCTCATTTGAAGCTCTCGTCTGACCTGGATATCCCGCGAACCAAGCACCACATGCTCCCTTAGGATTTGTCCGGCTAGGGTACATAATCAGGCACACGTTCCTGGTTGCTGTGATTGAACTGCGCAAGCAGAAACATGCATAGGCATACTTGAGGTTTCACCAATATTCATTGTTGGGACACGCAACTTAAATTAATTCCCTCAGCCTATCGGGCCTATTGGGTTCTCACGTGAGTCGGTCATACCGCTTGCTTCAAGCCGCTATCCCTTTTCATTCTTCGATATCATGGATGTGGCGCTTCATGGCCTCCATTTGCTTAAGTCCCCTGGAAAAACTAAAACATATTTCCAGTAGTGATAGATTCCCTTTGAAACCAACAGGGGAAAATCACAACTATGCTTAACCAAATGGAAGATGGAGTCTGCTTGTGACTTTGGGTTCCCGAGAGGGGCAAGCCCCGACGACAGCCCAAAACGGAACGGGCTTGACCTTCCAGAACCTGCGGGTTCGCAGAAGATATGACGCCATTGGCTAGTTAAGACCTCGCCGTCTTTCGGTGAAACGGAAGGTGTGGTTTCGCTGGCATGCTATCCCCAAATGGGACACCACTACAAGGGAAGCCACTACCATCTGGCATAAGGATTATGAATGAGAAAGCCATAGAAAGCCTTATTGCACGTCGACAAGGACTTGAGGAAACCCCCAACCAGGCCCGGCTTTCCCTTTGGCTTCTTGATTGAACCAAGGATTGGCTTTGGACCCAGTTTCACCCTTCAAGTCACCAGTTCCTGCCATCAGTGCAGGGCAGATTCACTGCAAGGGACCAGCTTAAAGCTTAAGCGCCCTGTAGGTGAAGGCTGAAGCCACCAAAAATTAAGTTTACACGAGGAAACTCATCTAAACAGGGAATCAACCTTTTTCTGTAGTCTGTCAATTTTAGTAGGGGAACCCTCCCAACCAAAAAAGAAAGGGTAGAGAAGGGCACCTAGCTGGGGGACCTAGTAAAGGTGGCAACCAAACAGGCCATGGATAGCAATCTACCACCGTTTGTGGACCAAACAAATAAGCTTACAAAAGGAAACTCATCTAAAGGTGGCAACCAAAACCGGCCATGGATGGCAACCTACCATTGTTTGTGGACCAAAAAATAAGCTTACAAAAGGAAACTCATCTGAAGGTGGCAACCAAAACAGGCCATGAGTCAAAATCCCGTACCCCCAGCGAGCATCCCAATCCCCACTAAAATAGACTAAAATGGGTGGTGCACCTACCCCAAAATGGCACCATTGGTTTGACCCACAGCCATCTAAAGGTGGCAACCAAACAGGCGATGGATGGCAACCTCCCGGAAAATAAATTAAAAACAAAAAAAAAAAAAAACGCCTCCCCAAAAAAAAACAGTAAAAGGGCACCTAGCTGGGGACCGGCGATGGATGGCAACCTGCCACCGGGGACGGCGCTGAGTTCACCTCGTCGAAGGAAGAGGTGCGCGTGATCAGCCCCTTCACCTTCTCCTCGTCCACCATGCGGCTGGCTTTTGCTTGGGCCACGTCGATGCCTGGACCCAAAAAAGTAAAAAACCCTGGTGTCTGATGATTCCCTGTAAATACCAACCAGCACTGGTTTCCTAGTTTTTTTGAAGTGGTGCAGGCTTTCGTCCATCCAACTAAGCCCAGGTGAGCTGCACATTCTACTATGCTTCCCAAAGCTGAAAATTAAGGGATCCCCGAGTGAAGGACCTGTATCATGGTCGTCATAATTACAGGTGAGCTCGTTATAAAACTGGCAGAGGTGATATGTGCGCAACAGCAACCTGATAACCCCTCGAACCCTCCGGAACCCTCCTTGAAAGCTGCTCTGAACAACTGTGAATTCCCTTCAAAACTACTTCTCCAACCTGGATTTGGAAAGGACACAACCATTTTATATATGCCCCACGGCCACGGTTCCGTTAAATGAAACAGGTTCGGATGGATTAGCTCTACTAAGCCCCAGTTCTGGCCATGGCACATATGTGCCAAACACCCCCTTTTGGGTGATACATGAGCACCCCCCTCAACCAGAAAAGGGTCCGAAGACCTTGGCAGAAGGTAGAAATTGGTCGGCGAAGGGAAACCAAAGGAACCCAAAGAAATATTGGGCTGTGCGGTTTGATCATTTTTAGCTGCTCGAAGTTGTTGCAACCCTGACCATTGATCATAGACAGGTTAGCCTTTGACGCCCTGTCCTTTCGAGTGCTTGAAAGGAAACCCAACAGCCAAGCACCTGGAGGATTCTCTAAATTTAGACACCAACATCCTGCCAATATATATATATAGTAATACATATATATATATGTGTATGTATGTATAAGCCCAGGTGAACCCAAACAAAAAAAACATGCACGAACCTTGGTCCCTAACGTCGCTTGGTGGAGATCGAGGCGCTGCTCCAATCCTTGGTCACCTCCAAGTGCATCCCCCGCTGCAGCGTGGCGTGCAGACTCTTGGAGCTCTCCGGGGGGAAGATCAGCGAGTAGGAGATGTCGGAGCGCACCTCGCGACCCTCACGCGGACCCATAGCGCACAACGACCCATAGCGCAAGCACCCAGATTCATGTGTTTTGCATGGTGATTCGTGTAATTGTGTCTTAAAAAGAAGAAAGAGGACAACAACCCATATATATATATATTTACATACAATGGTGAATTGTGTGTGTGTGCTTTTGGTTCGCTTCCTGTGCTTAAAGAAACATTGAAGGCAAGCAGAGATGATGCGCGGAAACATGAACAAACAACACTTATAAACGCGGGGCATGGGGCAAAATGCCAGGACGGGGTGGACAGGAGGTGTCTGTCTGACCGGGTTTTAAGGAAAGCCAAGAGCAACTCAGCCACCTAGTCTTTTGCGACATCCAACTACGCGCTCATGAAAAGAACCTTCATCGAACAAAAATCCCGAGGTCGCCACCAAATCAGGGCGTTTAGTTGGGTGAACCAACACCCAGCCAAAGATTTTCCCGACATGTACCTTCCTTGACTCACGAAAATTCATGCCACACATGGGCTGCTTGCGTGGGAATGAGTCTTTGCATTAGGCAATCCCATTGCTTGTGCTTAGGACACCGACACCCTGACTCCCAAAAGCCAGCACTTCTCAAAACGGGCAAACTGGGACGCCAAAAGATCGACTTCCGCACGCGAAGCACTGCAACAGCTGCATACATGTGTCAACTTAGTCACAGGAAAATGGTCCAACCTGGAGTTTTGGGCACCCCCAATCCTGGTTCTTTGGCCCCTATCCTGGTGCTTCCTGTCACCATGGCATGCAATCACCGGTTCAAACTGAAGGTATTTGATACCCAGAAGTCCCGCATCCTACGCAGCCTTTCACTTTCAGAGTGCCGTGTTTCACCCCAAGTCTCACTTGCTGAGTCCAAAAAGGCCAAAAGTCCAATTTGCCACTACCAAAATGTTTGCAGGCAACAAGTCCTCACTACACACACACACACACTATATAGCTTATAGGGTCTTCCCAGAAAGAAGGTCCAAGAAAACTGGAGTGAGAAGTGCTGTGTTTGGAACGTGGATTCGAGGTGACGTCACCTAGGGCCGCAGCTGCGACGAAGGTCTCGAAGATGCACCAAACCCGCGTCCTCAAGTCGCTGGCATTTTTTGACACACTGCCATGGACGAAATCCTGCACCAGCTTTTTTGCATGGTGCATTGTTCACATAATATTTTTTAGCAGTAGAGCCGGCGAAGCCGGTGGGCGGAAGTTTCCAAAATATAAAAAACTATAGTTCTCTTTCTCTTTCTTTTCTTGACTCCTTTTCTCCGTCATTCTTTCTTTCTTCTTTTCTTTCCTTCCTTCCTCCCTTCTTTCCGTTTTTCAATCTGTTTCTTTCGTTTGCTTGTCTATCTATCTTTCTCTACCTATCTATGCCTAACTACCTATCTATCTATCTCTCGTGTTATCTATCTATCTGCTTATCTACCTATCTATCTATCTCTCTATCTAGCTTCTCGATCTATCTCTCTATCTATGTATCTACCTATCTCTCTATCTCTCTATCTATCAATCCCTCTATATCCCTCTATCTCTGTTTCTCTCTTTCTCTATCTATCTATCTATCTATCTATCTATTTACTTCTCTATCTATTTATCTATTTATCGATCGCTATCTATCTATCTATCTATCTATCTGTCTATCGATCTATCTATCTATCTATTTCTCTATCCATCTACCTATCTATTTATCTAAACATATATCTCTCTTTCTATCTATTTATCTCTCTATCTCTGTCTCTATCTGTTTCTATGTATCTATGTATCTATCTATCTATCCATCTATCTCTCCATCTATATCCCGCGTATCTATCTATCTATCTATCGATCTATCTATCTCTATATCTCTCTATGTATCCCTCTGTCTACCTATCTATCTATCTCTCTCTCTATCTGTCTATCTCTCTATCTATCGATCTCTCTATCTCATTTTCTCACGTGTATTTATCCATCTCTCTATCTCTTTATCTATCTATCTATATTTATAATTATCTGTAGATCTACCTATCTGTCCATCTTTCTATCTACCTCTCTATCTCATTCTCTCTACCTATCTATCTATCTTCTACCTCTCTATCTGTTTATCTATCTTTCTATCTATCTATGTATTTCTCTATCTATCTACCTATCTATCTATCTCTCTCTCTATCTCTGTTTCTATTTATTTATCTCTCTATCTATCTATCTATCTATCTGTCTATCTATCTATCTATCTGTTTGTTCATCGTTTATCTATCTATTCATTTATCTCTCTATCTATCTATCTATCTATCTATCTATCTCTCTCTCTTTTTCTTTCTATTTATCTATCTCTCTATCTCTCTCTCTCTCTCGCTATCTCTCTCTATCTATCTATCTCTCTCTCTATCTATCTATCTATTTCTCTATCTCTTTATCTCTCTCTCTCTCTGTCTATGTATCTATCTATCTTGCTCTCTCTCTCTGTCTATCTATCTATCTATCTATGTATCTCTCTTCTCTCTCTCTCTATCTATCTATCTATCTCTTTCTCTATCTCTCTAGCTATCTCTCTATCTGCTTATTGATCTATCTATCTATCTACCCATCTATATCTGCACTTAAAAGTTGCGATTTTCAATCCCCGAAACTTGACTTCGCGTACTACTTTCGTACTTAAAAGTTGCGATTTTCGAGCCCCAGCTGCGAAAGCGGACTTCACGTACTACTTTTGTACTTAAAAGTTGCGATTTTCAAGCCAGCTGCGAAAGTGGACTTCGCGTACTACTTTCGTACTTAATAGTTGCGATTTTCGAGCCCCGGCTGCGAAAGTGGACTTCGCGTACTACTTTCGTACTTAAAAGTTGCGATTTTCGAGCCCCGGCTGCGAAAGTTGACTTCGCGTACTACTTTCGTACTTAAAGGCTGCGATTTTCGAGCCCCGGCTGCGAAAGTTGACCTTGCAAAAGTGCTGCGCCTGCCGCGAAATCTGTACTTGACCTTGCGAAAGTGCTGCGCCTGCCACGAAATCTGTACTTGACCTCGCGAAAGTGATGTGCCTGCCACGAATTTGGCACTTGACCTTGCGAAAGTGCTGCACCTGCCACGAAATCTGTACTTGACCTTGCGAAAGTGCTGCGCCTGCCACGAAATCTGTACTTGACCTTGCGAAAGTGTTGCACCTGCCACGCAATTCAATCCTTGGGAAAACTTGACCTTGCGAAAGTGCTCCGCCTGCCACGAAATCTGCGCCCGACCTTGCCAAAATGCTGCGCCTGCCACGCAATTCAAACCCTGCGAAACCTCTGCGTTGCCGTGCCAATGGTCCCGGCGCCCAACGTGATCCGAGACCGCTCCGAGACCGCTCCGAGCCCGCTCCGACCAGACGCCGCGGACAGGCTAGCTTTCGCATCTCCGGAGACGCCGATTCGCGCACAGGGCCACGCTTTTTGCAACTTTCTCATCTCCGAAAATGCCGATTCACGCACAGGGCCACGCTTTTTGCGACTTTCTCTTCCCCTGCCACACGCGCGCGCATTTTTTCTCGCGGGCTTATTTCTTCTCTGTCTCAGAGAGCTAGCTTTCAATTAGTTGCCGTAACACGGAAGTTCCTTCTAAACTTCCTTTGATGACAAGGACACCTACCCATTTTTTGGGTGCCCAATTTGACACATACCTAATCTCTTTTTGGCTTCCCTGTAAAACCAACCACAGCAGGTCTCCCAAACAAGTATCTTTGAACAGGCGGGCGGTTAGTCACGCCATTAGTGGCCCCACTTCATAACACCCACGCAGCTGCAGATTCTGCAGTCATTCCAAAACCTGACATAGAACATGGATCCCCAAGCTTCAATTTCATGTGCTTCTCCCCCTCGAGAAAATGAGAACAGACTTCCAGTAGTGAAATCGATTCCCTTTAAAGCCGACACTTAGCAAAAACACATAATATGCGCAAATCGAAGCCGAGTAAAGCACCTACATGGCGAGAAATCGCCGGTGTACCCGGAAAAGCGGTGAGCTTGTTTTACCGAAATCGTTTCAAGATTCAAGGCGCAGGTACGCGGGCTTGGACCAGTCATCGAAGAGCACCAGCACCTGAAGCATCATCTGAACCCCGCCTTTACGGGTACCATTTGGTGGCTTCACGGAAACCAGCCCGCATTTGTTTTGTGGGTAGTGTTTGTTTGGTGGCTTGGGAAGCCAAAAGGACCCCCGGACAAAAATGGGTTCATGTTTTTGTTCCGAAGGCTCTGGGGGGAAATTTGGGGGCCCTGGAAAGGGAAAGCAATGGAAACCAGGCATGAGCCTGTCCTGTGCACCTGTGCTTGGATGCAGTGCTGAGTCATCACTCCACACTTGTGAAGACTCAGCCAGTGTTCTACGGGTGTTTGACAGTTTGACCATCTTGTTGTGGCCCGGCGCAACCCTAGAGTTTGAGTGTCTTTGGCCTGGGGCACCAAACAATGGCTGACTTCCTGTCGGCTTCCCTTTCAAGCCACAGCGGAAAGGGGGTATGCCCGATGTTAAGACTAAAGCACATTTCAGCTAGAAGGTTCTTATACCGCTTGTGAGTGAAGCAACACCTGATCCAGCTTCACAGTGTGATTGATTTGTGGGGAAGCTGTCCAAAAGATGAGAAGCTTCAAGGTCGAATCACAGCACGAGAAAAAAACTTGATGCGATATCTAAAGTCTCTAGTTCCTCAGACCCCAAAGCGCAATGTTGCAGAGGCGAGAACCACAAAAACCATTTATGTCCCCGTTGCCCAGTAGCCCTGCAAGAAAAAAACTCGAACCCTTCCAAGTTCTTTTGACTTTTAAAAATAAACCCACCGGACCCTGTTTTGGCCTTATCATGTTTCGAGGAGCAACCCACCTGACAAGTAATGCATGGAAGGGGAGAGTGCATCCCCCATATAAAGGGACTCTTCCCTATACCTGCGCACAAGATACATAATTTCGACAACCCGGGATTCCATCCCAAATTAATTCTTGACCGTTGGTTAAAGAATGGGGGTTTGAAGATTCCAAACCAAAACAAGTTAAGTCACAACCTACTGCGGATGGACGAAATCCATTTCGCACCACCGTTCACACTCCCTAGTTTCTGCTTCGATTCCCAACAGAAATACCGAAACACACATTCTGGTTTCTCTACCATGGTTTCATTCACCGTGGTGCGAAATGCGGATTCACTTTTCCATCCACAAATATGGCTTGCTGGTGCCTATCGCGGCAGGGAATGAGAAGTGAAAATGAACCGGAAGGGGATTCCTAAGGAAACCAAATCCATCAGGGACGGTTTTCTGCAGGTCATTCCATTTCTCATTCCCATCTCTCAACCTGGAGAGTCACAAAAAGGAAGCCAAATCCGGGATGGCGTTAAAACGGCGGGTCATTCCAACACGGGTATGGGTCAAAACTAAACCACCAGCAAGACCGCAGATTTTAGTCCGTGCTTCCATTTACCAGGGCAAACTATTTTGGGGTTACCAAGAACTTTCCACCCACAGCCATTTGGCCATGGGTCAGTATTTTTCGTGAACATGCTCATCCACTAAAATGGGTCCTAAAATGGGTAGTGAATTCACCTACCAACCAAATTGGGATCCCAAAACGGTTTCGACAACCACAGCCATTTCTCATTACCTGAACATGTATCATTCCTGCATCCCTTAACCTGGGGAGTCCCTTCAAGGAAGCCAAATCGCGGATAACTTTTTGGGGGGTCATTCCCTGCATCCCATATGGACCCACTTGCTCATCTGGGAATGAGTGAATGAACCTGAGGATTCCCTGAAAGGAAACCACATCAATCAGGGATGTCTTTTTTGGAGTTCATTCCATTTCTCCTTCCCATCGCTCGCAGCTCTCGCGCCAGTTTCTCACGCCGAACTGCCCCGCGCCTGGCCAATGGCCTTGAGCCGGCCCTGGAAGGTGGTCTCCAAGTCGTCCGAGCCTCGGCCAAAAACCCAGGCCCGAGGCTCCCGTGCTTCCAGTTGGATCAAGCGTTTCTGTGGCCCAATCTGGCCGAAAGAACTGAAGTTCCAGCTGTTCTTAATCTTTAGTTCACTATTTCCCCGAACCTCAGTTTGTTTTGTTTGGCTTCCTTTTGCAACTCCCTGAGGTTCCGACTTTGCGGGCCATTAAATCACGTTGCAGAAGCTGAATGAGCCCTTGAAAGACCCCGGAAAATATTGGCGAAGTTCAACCTGCTCTTTGCATCGGTATCCTTTTCGCAAAATAGAGCTGAAAGCACTGCTTTGGACACCTGCTGTGTTTGGAGGCTTAAAGGCCCATAGGCCTATTTGCCATGTCCCGGAAGCAAATGCTGGCATAGGAGCGTCACAAGCAAGGGAACGAAACGGGCATTCGAAAAGACGCCAACCTGGAAACTACGTATTTGTGGGTGTGCATCTAAACTTTAATTCAAACAAGCGATTTCTCGTAGCTTCCCTTCGAACAAGCCCAGAAAGGGTAGCCTTCAGAACCAGACACGCCCACCTCCAGTTACCCAGCAGTTAGAGGGATCATCTTCGGGAAACCAAGTGGAAGGAAACGACAAAGGACCCTCCACGACCAGAAGGGCCAAAGCTGGAGGGCCCCAAACAACGCAGTGCCACATCTGGGCCGTCACGCGCTGATGTCAATTCTGGGGTTCAGTTCCAACACTCAAAACAATGAGACCTATGGTTCGCTTTCTCTAGCGACTCTAGGTATCGAAGTCATGGTGGATAATAGAAGGGCCCTGGAATTCAAACCATGTCAAAATAATGGGGGGTAGCATAACCACCATTGTCTACCTAAGGAGGTTCATCCATCCAAATTGCCTCAACCATTCTTTTTACTGGGGGTTGAACCCCGGGGAACAGTTGACCGAATGACTGGCACGCAGATCTGCAGCCGTGGGATCGAGCAAACATGCCCAAGGAACTCTGCAAAACACGAGGACACCAGTCGCATATTGACTTGTTGGTTCCAGGACTAGATACGTGACTATATGCACCCAACAAGGAAAATACAATACCAAACTCAACAGCTTGGGTTAGTAAAACCTTAGCCAATATGAGTTTAACAAGGAGGGCGCAGCAGCAAGCAATATGCACCTACACCCTTAAACGTTTCACTGTGCCTGGGATGTTTTACAGTTCTGTGGGAGACGCAAAGGCAACATACAAACCAACAGGGCCAATACTGGCATTGTGAAGCGAAGCTACAAAGTGTTCCCCGAAGATTGAAAGCAATAATACTTCCTGCTATTGCAGTGTTCAATGCCTTGTGGTTCATTTAGGTATGTGTCAAAACAGGGGAACCCACGTTTACTTTTGGCTTCCCTCGAACTCAAAATGAAACAGTCTTTCTGCCGCCTGGCATCCCTGTCTAACCGCTCACAGGAAGCTAGCAGCCTGATTGACACCCGCCTCTACCAGTTCAAGCCTCAGTGCTTCAATCTTAAGCACGCCATCCTAACAATGCCGGCTCATCCAGAGAAACCTAGTCACAGTTGTCATTCCAACCTTCAAATCTGTCTTAAAACCATTCGTCGGGCCCACTGCCTCGCCCGGAGCACCCGCCTTCTTGACTCTTCTCATTCAAGATCCTCTCCTGGTTGTTGCAGAAGAAGCAGATCCAAATGAACGTCCTTAGCACTTCCAAATGACAAACTCGCCAAACATACTGGGCAGCTCTCAGATCCCCTGCTAAAAGTTTAACTTTTAGTTGGCAAACTACCACCAAACCTACTAAAAACAACCAAAAAGCAAAGGAACCGGATGGCTGGGAGCCACCAAGAATACCCTTTGGGCTTCCTTTTGGAAACACCAAGAACACAGCGATGGCCGTAACGTTTCATGAGCCTCACTCAGCCCTTTTCGACCCGACAAGCCTCCCTAGCCATCCGCTTTGCGTTCTGCATGAAGACGTAGTCAGAAGGAGCCCCTTGACCCCTACATATGAGGCCCTTCAACGCCCAAAGGCTTCAAATAATGGGGTCTTGGATGGTCTTGGGCTCCTTCCGGCCGAACAGACCTTCAAAACCGGAGCCTTTCTAGGTGTGATCGGTCGTTTACCTGCCACTTTAGCATAAAAATGAGAGAGAGAAAGAGAATCAAAAACAACAACACTGCACTTTGGCCAACAGAGTGATGAGAGCGTGTGTGCGAGTGGTCATGTGTTTGTCGTTTCAGTGGTAAAGTGAAGCCAATAAAGGTTGCTGGGAAGTCGATTTCCCCCGTACTGAGCGGCGTGGATTGGCGCTCCAATGCCTGCAGCCATTTACCTTGGTGTCGTGGTTGGACCCTTCCCACTTCACTTGCACTACTTGGTCGTCGTCACCTTTCAATCCGCTTATTAATTTTCCGACAATGGTACCCTCAAATTCCAAACCCCAAAAACTCAGAGACTTCCCCTTAAAACACAGTGGTAGCATGGGAATAGTCCCCTCCAAATAAAACATCTATAAACCACGAAAATAGTCATACTCCCTTTTCAAGCCTCTTTCTTACGGGGTAACGAATCCCTATCAGTTTCCAATAAAAAAATGCTCTAAATAAAACCTACGAACCCCTAAAAACCCCTAAGCATCCCCGAGCCAACACCCTTTACCCCCCTAGAAATCCTGTAGACATACGCCCAATACCCCAACGTCAACGGTTCCCCGATAGCTGAGCCTTATCCCGGTGGCCGAGGCGCTGCGCGGCATCCACTTGGCACTCCTGATGGGAAGGGGGTGTCCAAAACTGGGCTGTCCATTTTCAGATCCCCGGCTAAGAGTGAGTGGGTGAAATTCGGAAACTACGACTTAACCCACTAAAAACGACAACACAGCTAAGGAACCGGATGGGAACCGCCAAGAAAATATGGGATTCTCTAATTGGGAATTGACCCAGGGTGGACCTCATTTAGGTGGGGACTCATGTGCACCAACCATTTGGGGTTGTTTTAAAGGGAAACACAAGGACACACACCCTGTTCAAGGGTTACCCGGTTTTGAGACAAGCCCAAATGGGAACCCCTTTTTCTTCAGCGTTCAAGGGAGGCCAAGATGAAAGGTAAGAGCCTCTGTGCGTCCGTGTTCGTGCTACGGTCAACAGTAGTATCTGCTTGTTAACGACTCCGCCATCTCAGCTTTCCCTATAACAAACCGCCAGAGACAGGCGTAGCTGACTTAGCGATGTGGCCAAATCGAGCACCTCAAGGTGCTCCTTTGGAAGCATGGAAGGCACTGGTAAAGAGTGAAACCAAGCAAAAACCATCTATTTGCAAAACTGGCTTGATTGGGGCACCGAAGCTGTCTTTAGGAACAAACAACTATGGACTGCCACGCAAAGCCACAAAAGTGTGTGTTTAAAATAGGGAACACCCAAAAATGACCAACGCTTGCTTGTGCCTTCCCTTTAAGACCACTCCGAAAAACATACATGGATGATTGCAAAATCCATTTCGCACCACGCAATGACACCAAGTTTGCTACGGTAACTATTTACGTTGGGGAATCGAATCATGCATGAGGATTTTCGCAACCATCCATACTATGTTTGCTGGCCTTCCCCTTACCGGTCTCCTTCCCCTTAAAGGTTTCTGGCCGGTGGTGCAGTAGAGAGGTTAGAATAAGGGCACCCTTCTTTCTGTAGTCTACTTTAGTAGGGGAACCCTCCCAACCAAAAAAGAAACGGTAAAAAAGAGGGCACCTGGGGGACCTAGTAAAGGTGGCAACCAAACAGGCCATGGATAGCAATCTACCACCGTTTGTGGACCAACAAAATAAGCTTACAAAAGGAAACCAGCTATAGACCTTGGGCTTGACCCTCGAGCGAGGCGCGAGGCGCGAGGGAATCGCGAGGCAGGCGCCTGGCACCAGTGGCGCAGCGCCAGGACCACCGTCGTCAGGTGGTAGCCCCAGGCCCAGGACAAGAAGTGGGTGGCCGGCCCCGCGGGGAGCACGTCCTCGAGGCCGGCGGAAAAATAATAATAATAAAAAACGCGGGTCAGGGCGGGGACTTGTTTTGCTGGGGGGGTGGCCTGAAAAAGAAGAAGAAGGAGCCTTTGTTGTGTGTAGGCTGGGGGGGGTGTCTGGAAAAAAGAAGAAGAAGGATCCTTTGTTGTGTGTAGGCTGGGGGGGGCGTCCTGAATAAAGAAGAAGGATCCTTTGTTGCATATAGGCTGGGAGGGGGTTTCCTGAAACAGAAGAGAAAGCATCTGTTGTTTCGTGTAGACGTGGGGAGGTATCACCATGGTTGGCAGGAGAAAGGATGTTGGCTCACATTGTCCATTCGTTGAACACAAAACAAACCCAAATTGCCCAACGAGTGATCTGGAGGACCATACTGCTCTGGGGGATTACTCAGATGAGCGTGGTCCTCCTCGATAAGCATCCTAACTTGTTCATTAAGACTGACGGGTGTCCGTTTGCTTTCCGTTTGAACAGCATCCACCAGGGCCTCCTAGCCTATTTTCAATCCGAAACAATTGATGAGCCATGACTCTCGGTCCCTCAAAGACTGAAATGCCCACTGAATGGTAGTTTCAGGGGGAACCACCTCCAAGCATAACTTGGAGAACCCCTAAACTGAGACCACGTTCAGGGACCCAGTATTAACCCCGAATTTAAGTCTGCGGGATTGGAGAGGGAAACCGAAAAAGGAAAATTCAAAAGGTTCCAAGTCAAAGCAAACTCATCTCTACAACGGAGATTTTACTCAAAAAGACTCGGGAAAACATGTCTATGAGTCTATGAAACTTAATATAGGGAACCACCTCAAAAGTGGCTGGCGGACATGAACCTCATCCTGAATGATGTGCACCAAAACCGTCCCATTTTTAAAATTCACAACTATATCCTGGGGTTCAACCACCCATGAAAAGAATGGCAAGGACCCAAATTGGATGAAAGTCCTTAGATTCTTAGATAAATCATGGTTATATTAACCCCCATTGCTTTAATGGTGTTAACTGAACCATATGGCAGTGGGTCAAAGTGGTTACCCAAAATTGAACCCTGGTAATTAAGTAGAAACATGCACTAAACCTGCGGTCCCCTGGTGGTTAATCTGTTTTTGACCCATACCCATATGGCCATGGGTCAAAACCCCGTAGCCCCAGTGAACATCCCAATGCAACCACTAACATCGGTTCTAAAATGGGTGGTATGCTTCACCTACCAAAATGGGATCCCAAAACGGTTTTGACCCATGGCCATACCTATCCCAAAATGGTAGCACAGCCATAAAGGGACCCCTGTCACATTTCTTTTCTGCCCAGCGAGGTGCCACCAGCGCGCAGCCCGGTCGCCCGTCGCGGGGGCAGATGGCGGCAGCGCCTAAGGCTTTAGGGCCATAGGCGATGGCCGGCGCGAGCTCGTGGAAGTTGGGGTCTTCCTGCGACCATTTTGGAACCAAACACGACACATTTGAGGTGAACCACAGGATGGCAGGTCTTATACTGTCCGAGCAACTTTGCGTTAATTACTCCATACCACCTGCATAGAAGACTTCTTGAATGCCTAGGGCCTAGATGACATGTGTGTGGGGGCGCCATGGATCCCCGAGTAAAGGATGTGTATCATGGTGAGCTCGTTATACCGGTGAGCTCGCTATTAAAACAAGGACAAATACATCCCACCCAAATCTCTCCTTGCCGGCGGCAGTCTGCGCAGTGAGGGTGAACCTCGGCAGCTCAACGGGCACGAGAGGTGGGGCAAATAAGACAAGCACGGATGCTACTTGCATCTTCAAGGCACTTAGCAAGTTGCCACATATCCACCAATCCACCAACCTCTCTTGTCCCCCTTCATAAACATGGTTATAGCTTACTTGCTAAGTTGCTTAAGTATCCAAGAAGCGACCTGGTCACATGAGCTTACCCAAGCCAGCCACCTGTAGGCCCATTTGACAGCCCCCAGAACCAGAACCAGCCCAACGGCCAGCACACGTGGTGCAACCCAGTGTACCCCCTTGTCCACTAGAACGTAGTCTTCCAGAAACCCTCTGTCAGGTGCCATGTTGGTGGACAAGAGGAAAGATAACTCCTTGGCATTCAGGAGACATCGACTTGATTCGCCCAGATCTTGTAGTTGGGACCAATTGAAGCAAGCAGGCGAGAAGATGCCGACCAGCCGAACGGGGATGCGGCAAAATATGGGGGCCTGTGAAATCGTGCTGGTCCTTCTGGTTTCGCTTCAAACCAATCTGGGCTCACCCAAAAAGGGAACCTTCAAAACAAACCGAGCAGGTTACAAGTTTCACCGAGCGAGTGAAGAGGGGTGGGCGCCAGTTTGCCAAACATGTCAGGCGGCATTTTTCCTGCTGTTAGGATGGGCGTGGCTATGTTTGCAAGGAACTATGCCCTGTGTTTCTTGTTTTGTCCTTTGTTGCTGAGAGGGTTCAACATCAACTGTGAGTCGCATTTGCTTAGGTAGGTCCCTCATTATTGCAGTGTGTCTCAAATGTTGGGGAACACAATTGGGATTCAAAATTAAAGGGATTCCCCCCCGCGGGCCTCCCCCCGCAAAAAAAAAAAAAACCAGCTGGACCGTCAGACTTCCCTCAAACATTGGATATTGCCCAACCACCAAGCTTCCATTTGCTTAAGCACCTGGAAAAAAAATATTTCCAGTAGTGATACATTCCCTTTGCAGCCAACAGGGGAAGATAACAAATACTCTTAAGCAAATGGAAGCAAGAAGGGCTAATCATTTGGACTCGAGCCACATGGATGGCTCGATGAGGTACTCCAAGCTCATGCCCAAGCTCTCAGAGATGGCGCGCCGGTACCCTAGCGGACACGGTACCCTTTTCCAGGCTTCAAAGGAAAACCAACACGAAGTCAGCCAATTTGGGGGGGGGATTCCCTTTTTTGAATGAGTTCTTCTAAGAAACCAGCAACCGCAAAATCTACAATTGAGCCAATGCCCTGCTTTTTGAGCGGGCAAAATGGCGAGCTTCCTAGTTCGGATGTCCTGTGGTTAATGTTCTTAAGTTTCCGGCTTACAAGATAATTTTTGTGCAAGACCTTATCAACCTACCACAATTCAGCTTTGCTTGTGAATGAATATTAGAGTTTCCTATACTACCTTTGCACCAGCACATAGTTCTCTGCACGCGTTGGTCTCTGAATGGGCTGAGGAACGCCCAACATGTGTGATTTTGCTTTGGACTCCCCTTTAAAGAAATCCCAACAATAGCCAAAAGGGCCACCCTCAAAACATACACGCCCCAGGCCTCCTGTCGGGAAATCCATGCCACTGAACACGAGAAGGCAAACAGCTCTCGCGTTTGTGGGGAGCAACAGCGCTCCTCGTTTGGCACCACTACAAGCTAGTGCCACCAGGTGAGCCAACAAGTCAACAGGAGTATTCCGTTCTGCTGAGCAGTGCTACCACTGGAATAAACAGTAATGTACATCAAGCAAAAATATACATCCGCCAGCCATGGATAGCTCGACGTATCGGCCAACAAATAACAGTTGTTTGTTGGCCGATACGTCGAGTTATCCATGGCTGCCGGATGCATATATTTGTTTGATGTACATCACTGTTCATTCCGCATGGGGCAACTATTTGGTTCCATGTTTGAACAAACCTGGATACACCGAGTCTTTGATGTTTCCATGGACCAAGTTGGAAGTTCAAAGTCAGTGTGAGTCGGCTCGGGAGAAACCGCCCCTCGCTTTTTCGACTTGGGGGGTGGGCAGTTTGTCTTCTTCCTAAGCAACCAGCAGTCTGCCAGCTTGAGACACTTGACATGGCTGGAGTTCTTTCTTTTCTAGGCGTTCGGCTGTCTTCGGGAAGCAACAGGCTTGGGGTTGGCCTAGGATTGGTTTGAGGTTAGTAAGGCGTTTGAAGGGTTGGCCTGCTCACAATGTCGTGTTGTTCGAGGTCAGGTTGCTCAGCTGAGTTGCCTTTCCTGTTGCGCAGGAGGCTAACATGGCATGGTCAGAACTGAGAAACCCATCAACTGCTTGGGCCCCGTGTGAGTTCAGATCTTTTGCCAGCTCCCACCCCTATCAACGGCCGTGCCGCGATATCGGGCCAACATCATGGCTGCTTTATCCCCTTTTCTTCAGATCCCCTGCTAAAAGTTTAACTCTTGGTGGGTTAAATAACACCCCCCACGAAACCCCAAAACCTAAAACCCTCAAAGGGGACGGCTGGGAACCGCTAAGTTGAGGGAAGTTATGGAAAAGGTCCCCAGTTTCGTCTCGCGTGTCTTCCCAAGGGAAACTGGGCAGATGTGAAATTCCAGAGGCTCATCTCTGCTTTCCTTGGGGTCTAATCTAAGAACATCACTGCGGCCCATGCTTTGTCACATGACTTCAACCTCTCCATACGACCTTCGGGGGAAATGGGCTCCTCAGTTCTGATTCTAGTTGACCTTCTGTTTACCACACCCTCCGTTTAGGGAAAATCAATGATCATTTGTGTTTGGACAGTAGAACTAGCCAGGATGTGGAAACAGGGACGCAAAATGGAGTTCCCCATCATTCATCTTGAAACCGGTAATCCCTAAAATGACCTGTTTCCCTCTATGATCCCCCTGCCCTCCAAAACCATCCATAAAGGGGGTCCGCCCTTGTCAGCAACCACCATCTCCCTGGTTCCTCTGATCTCCCAAAAGCCGCCGCCCGAAAAGCCGAAACCCAAACCGCCTGCGTGCACCGTGAGGTCGTAGATCTTCAGCATCTTCCCAGCGATGACGACCAACTTGTCCCCGCTCAGCGCCACCATAAAGTCCTTACGGCCAACGCAACTCCCGTGGGTTTGCCGCAAGCGAGTGGGACGTGGGACCCCACGAAACTGGGTTTCCAACTTTAAACCAACCGATTTAAGGTACCTTGAAAAAAATATAATTACAAATGAAAAGATTTGGGAGGACAAGCTTTTCGACTTCCAGGATGTATCACTTCAAACTGGCCCCATTAGTTTGCCATGATCAAAGTCACCCGAAATAACCAGCCATTTTCTGACTGAAACTAGTGACCTGGTGCATCTATGGGTGCTATCTTATTATCTTTGTTGGAGGGTTCCCCTTTTCTGGTGGCTTGAAGGAACATTAAACGGAACACCGGCATTGTTGGATGGCGAATGCTGATGTTAAATTTGACCCAAGAGTCCCCGGAGATGCGACGCTCGTCCGAGATGGTGCACAGCAGCTTGCCATCCTGCGAAGCTCCACGTCAGATCGGTGATCGAAAAAAACGTCTGGGCTCACGCGATGCTGGCCGTTCAACGGGCCTAAGGAGAAACCAGAACCTGTTGGCTGGTTTATAGGGCAACCTGCCAGTTTGAAAAGGACCCAACAATTGGGAGAAAACCAGCTGTCCTCTTCCCTTAGGTTTACTTCTCCGAGGCCACATAGGGCAACGTTGATTAGCTTGTTCAAAGATCCTGAACCCAGAGGGTCCCTTGGTACCTTTTAAGGAGGTACTTAGACCCCTTCTTACCCCCCAAAAGCCATCCTCAGGAGATACCAAGGGACCCTCTGGGGAATCCTGTGTGTGTGTGTGTGTCTGTCTGCGCCCGAGTGCCGCCGAAACAAATCTTCAACGCTCTTGGACCGCCAAAAAGAAAGGGTCCTCCATTAGAGAGGCTAGAAGAAGTTGGAACTTTTTTTTCTTTTTTCTTCGGTAGTCTGTTTTAGTAGGGGAACCCTCCCCCAAGAAAAGTTGGTCAAAAAGAGGGCACCTAGCTGGAGGACCTAGAAAATAAAGAACTCCAGGCGGGTAAAGTTTAACATCGCCTCAAGCAACTGGGCGACCAATCATCTGCCTAGAACTGGTATTCCGCTCACCTTGGTCTTCCAAGGGCCCACGCAAACAGGGTCCTTCTTGAGTTGGCTCTTGGTTGAAAAGGAAAATCAGCCAAAGGCATGCTTTTTCAGGGTCCTGGAAGACCAAGCTCACCTTTTGTGTGTGCTTTCAAGGGTAATTACCCTTTTCGACTTGATATACAGGGCCAACCAAGTTTCGACTTGATATACAGGGCCAACCAAGATGTCAACCGCGCATTCTCACCCAATTTCAACACCATGAAACAGTTGGAATTCACGCCAAGTCCAACGCAACTCATCTGCGCGATGCTCTAGCTACTCCCAACTTGCGACAAAGGCTTCTTGACTCACACGTACCGGCGCACCTAGCCCTCGTAGGATGGTGGATATGTTTCTGAACTAAAACATTCCTTGGGCCCCGCTTGAATTGTGGTATATGGCGTCCTGAAGGACTTCCCTCTTGGTTTCTTTGGGCCCTATGTCTCCAAAAAATGGGTGTCCGCCTGGTTTCCCTTTAACCATCCAACAAGGGGTGCTCCATTTTTAGACCATTCCAGAAACCTGAGCTTCGCACAACCCCCCCTGCAGCCTCCACCCACCCCCTGCTTGGACCTCAACGTAGGCTGGGGAGTGAGTTTGATCAAAAGCTCCTGTCCCATCTAGGTCCTCCAGTAGAGAGGTCAGAATAAGTTGGTACTTTTTTTTCTGGAGTCTATGTTAGTACCTAGAAATGGGGCAAGTTGCTCATGATCCTCACCCGCAAACCCTCGGGCGCGAGCGAGCGCGCGAGCCCGCTCCGCCAGTGTCCAGACGCTGGCCGTGCGCGTCTCGCTGCCGGACACCACGTAGGGTCCACCCATGGCCTCAGCACCCCAATTGGCCTCATGGGAGTGGCCTAAGCCCAGTGAGTTCAATGGGGTGGGTTTGGCTGGTGTTGGCCTACTTAAGCCTTCCCACCCCACGAACTTCCTCGAAATGGCTATACAAACCACAACTTATTGATAGGGGGGGGGTTTGGCGCCCACATTTCACCCAGGGAGAAGCACTCCCCCAATTCATAAACTGGGGTTGAAACTCTTATGGGGTCAACATTAGAAAGGCTTGTGAAATCCACATCTTTGGGGTATAAGTAACCAACTTCATAACAGTCCTGGCGGCCAAGCGGGGAGACTCCCGTGCGACTTGGTTGGGGCACTTACCACACCTTTTCAATAATACACTTCGTAGAGGGATGCCGGCAGTGAAAGTGCAATCCACCCAGTTTCACCCAAACGTACCTGAAAGAAAGGAGACCTGTCCAGCTGGTCAGCGAGACACATGACAAGCCTCAAACACCAGGTGCCAAGCTTGACAGGATCAAGAGTCAGCACCCGATTCGAGCAATGGCCATGGTCAAAAGCAAGTGAGCAACGCTATAGATACGCCATGAGTCCCTATGTTGTGGATGGTTGCTTACGCGCGAGCTAGCGCTTTGCTTACGCGGGTTCGTGGATTTAGCTTACGAGGCAGTCTCCGAGCATGTCAAGCTTACGCCTTGCTTACGCATTGGCGTTCTGATCGTTTCCCCCTCAAGAATTGCGGACCGCGGTTCCTTTTTCTATGCAGCTGCCACTGTTCAAGATAACGTGTATGACTGTGAGAGTGTGAGGAGGAAGTTGATGACGAATTGCTCTCATGTTCACTCGGCGCTCTTGTTCTTGTCGGCGCCTGTGTAGCCCTCTTGCTCGCTTGGGATTTGGTCGACTTGTGGCCAGCCTCAAGAACAAGGAACGGCTTCTGCATCATGGGCGAGCGGGCAGCTGTTGGACGAGCTTGCGCAAACCTTACGCGCCTGGACCCCTTGCTTTTGCGCAATCTGCTGTGCAACCCTCGTGTTTTGGAAATCCAGCGGCTCTGCTCCCATTTAACAATTCTTGCAAGCAGTCACGAAGCAGAGCTTACGCGGGCGCTTGCGCAGCATGTTTGCCCCCAAGCTTTTGCCGTGCACGCTTTTTGCTCCCGTGGGCCCTTCCAATAACACAATTCTTGCTTGGCACGTAACGCTTCTTTTGAAGCGGTCAACTGCTTTTTGCTGCTCTTTGGTGGATCATTTGCTGAGCAAATAAGATAGGCGAAGCACCAGAAGCTCATTTTGTCGCGCCGGCTGAAAATATATGCTACCCGTGGGAAGTGAGTAGTGCCGGATTCAGCCTCACGGAGTCACGAGTCCTCGCAAGCGGTTGAGGTCGTTGAAACGTCCTTTTGAGACTGCACTCTTCGTCATGTAAAAGGAATTGCACTTCCCAGTTGAAGCCTTGACGAAAAGGATGGCTGCAGTCTCAAGAACCAAATTTCTGGGGTTCAAGCGATTCCCACTAAAGAAAGAATCATCCGGCAAATCATGGTCAATGTTTCAACCAGTGTTTTGAACTTCCCTGAAGTAACCCAATTTGGATGAAAGTCTTGAGGTAATGGTGGTTGTATTGACCCAACCTCGGTGGGTTTCTGCTCCCCTGCTAAAAGTTTAACTTAACTTTTAGTCGGTTAATGGAAAACCCATTAGTTGGCAAAAAGTCAAAGTCCTAACATCCAAGCAAAGTGTGCCAAATCAACCATTGTTTTAATGGTGGCCTGCCTGACCCTCGGGTGATCTTTTTGGACTTTCTACCCATCTTGACGGATCGATCTGGGCACCCAGGCCAGGCGTGGGTAGGTTTGAGGCGTGGCACGCGTCGGCACCTTGTCCTCGGAAAGCGGCGTATGAGGCAGGGGTGTTTCTCGAAATAGGGGCTACTTATATATATATATATATTATATACATGGGTTTGCCTCAAAATTAAACAGCTAGGGTTACGCGGGTTTTAATCTTTGGTTCCATTTACCCACGTGCCATTTGGGTACATTTTATTGAGCCACAGTCATATGGGTGTGTCTTTCCTCAGGGGACCCCACAAATGGCAAGGGTTTCCTTTGAACACCAACCCAACAGGGTACCCTCAAAAATAGACACCCTCATATGGCAACAGTATTATTTTCTGGACTTCCTTTAAATGCGAAAACCAAAAAAGGAGAGGTCCTAAAAAAATGAGAAGCTCCCATCTAATGGGGTGTGTTTGTCTTAGGGGCACCCCAAGAAATATCTTGAGCTCTCTTTTTTTGAACACGGTATTGTCGACTCCGGATATAGCAACCCAAAAAGCAACAAATCCTCGCTAAAATGGGACATTCCCCAGTGCTAGTTGACCTGGGGGTTGACGAAGCCTGGGACACATCACCCCACCAAAAGAAAACATGACCCAAAAGGTGATATTCAAAACCCGTTAAACGACAAGTTTGTGTTCCCTAATTATTTCAGGCCTTCGGGGCAGGCCCTCATACCGTGGATGGACGAAATCCTGCATCACCTAAGAAACCCTTTTGTTTCTGATGATTTCCCTGCAAATACCAACAGTAGTTCCCCAAGGTTTTCAATCTGGTGCGACATGGATTCCGCAACCAGCCACAGCATTTCGGGTCATTTTTTGGGCTCCTAGAAAACCCCATTTGCAAGGACCCCATGGGAAAATCCGCGCCTTATCCATCTCATTCACCAGCCGTCGCTCCAAGACGAGGCCAGGCAAAGAGTAGATGGACACCTCCGAAATGCCTCACGCGAGATGCGGTGAACCGACATGCGCGCCAAACCAAGTGGTGGTTTCCTTTCCGGGAATCCCACAGCCAGGTCAACTGGTGGTTCCTTTAAGGGGAGTCCCCACAGCCAAACCAACTGGTGGTTTCCTGTACAGGGAATCCCACAGATTTTGGTTACTTTTAAGGGAATCCCACAGATTTTGGTTTCCTTTAAGGGAATCCCACAGATTTTGGTTCCTTTGGTGGAAGATCCATAGAACTTTTGCTGGTTTCAGTTTCGTTAAAGATTGATTTCCCCCTCCATCTCGCTGGTGCCATAGGGGAATGGCTAGGTCCTCCAGTAGGGAGGTTAGAATATGTTGGAAGCTGGTACTAACTTTTGATCTGTAGTTTATTTTCGTAGGGGAACCCTCCCCCTAAAAAAGAAACGGTAAAAGGGCACCTAGCTGGGGGACCTAGATGAGAAAAGCAATGCAGCCGAGCAAAAACCGTCCTGGTGGCTTCCTTTACTGGGCCCGTTTTCAGATCCCCACGCAAAAAGTGACTAACTTTTAGTGCGTTAAATGGAAACTACCACTAAACACTAAAAGGCTAAAAAGCTGAGGAACCGGATGGCTGGGAGCCCCCAAGTCTGAGGGAATCCCGACTTGCTCATTCCCACTTTCCCTCAGCAACTTGGCCGAATCTTGCAAGGTGGGTGGTAAAGCACCAACATCGCCTTGCAGATGCTACATTTCTTTGGCCAAACCCGGGTGGCCAAGTTGTTCTTGCGCAAGAAATAGAAACGGGGAAGCGGCGCAAAAAAGAGTTGGATCGCTGCAGCGAAGGGTCTGTCAACAAGGGTGCCAAGATCAAACCATTGGAAGGGGTTCAGTCAGGTTGAAGAAGAACGAAGCCTGATTCATGTGCTGATGGTTATTGTTGAGGTACCCTGATAGTTAGTGAGAGGCTACAAACCTGGCCGCACAATTCAGCAAGAAAACACTCGCGCGAAGAACAACGTAAATCAGCACACACTGCAAGACAAACAGGCAATCACGCGACCAAGCCAAGCAGTCCCTTCGCACCGAAATTCATTACTTTGGACACCAAAATGGGAGGCGAAAGCATGGTTTTGCAACTCAGCCATTTGAAACGAAACCCCTTGACAGCCAACACAACACGTCTCTCAACATTCTGGACCAGAAGACTGCTCGTGCCGTGAATCAGCAGTTGAGAAAGATGTATTCATTTGCACAGAGCCTTGCCTGACAAGTGCTTGGAACCGCTGAGGATCCCCTCCCTGGGAACACATAGAACCCGTAACACTCGATCAACAGTAAACCTCCAGGAACTTTGGGAGCAAAAAACAGGCACAATTCGGGGTCAACTTGCTCGGCAGCGAGTTGTGATTCCTTCATACGCTCAAGCGTTGACCATTAACACCCCAAAGGGCAGGTAGACTAATGAAGCAAAACCCCCTGAATGGTGATAGTGTGCCTGCCGTCCAGCGACTTGGTCTGCCCAATCAGAAATTGGTAGTCCTGTCAGAGCCCCATCGCAAAAGCCCAGTTGGGAAAACACATGTGTGTTTATTTTGTTTGGTTGCCTTGAACTTTTTGCTGGTTCTCATCAACATTTAAGAGGGAATGCCCCCTATATACATCCATACATCGCTATGGTTTCCTTTAAGGGAAGTCCCCGTTCATTCCCAACACCCGAAAGGTCATTCCCCTACCTATCGCACCAGAAAATAAATGAACACCCTTCGAATCAAAAAAAGGCAAGAAAACACAGGTGCGTTTTGTTCTGCTCACCTTTCAAAGGAAATCCGATTGAAAAAGCAAGACAACGCAGGTGCGTGTTTTTGTTGGTTGACCTGTAGAGGGACAATTCGACCAAACATCAAAAGACAAACATCAAAATCAACGGTTGGATTTTCGTTTCGGTTTCCCTTAGTTTGATTTTGCAAAGGGACCGCCTTCGAACAAAATCAACAAATTTCTCCTGCAACCTTCTCCATTCTTTTCAGAGATCCGGATCTTTCCAAAAAAACCTTCAGAAACCCGAGAAAAACGGCTGGTTATTGAAAAGAACGATGATTGAAAAGAATGGACAAGGACTCAACCCCTGGAAAATTGGCCAAACGCGGAAGAAGGGCGAAACCCACCGCGTCCCGACGTCCCGACGGGCCGCCTGAGAGCAGCAGCTGGCCCTGGACGATGCGCACCCCGGGGCTGCGGGCCTCGCGGAATGAAACTCGCCGGACGTGGGATCGGGCCCTTCCTAGGAACCGCAGCCATGGGTCAAAAGTAGTTCCATGTATGGCAACCCATTTTCCCTTTGGGGAAGTTAAACGGAATTTGGTCGGACCCCACCCTCCTCCCCCTGGTAGGGGGGGACGGAGCCATATGGCCATGGGTCAACAGCCAAATCGTACCCCTAGCGAACATCCCAATCCAACCCCTAAAATAGGTTCTAAAACGGGCGGTTTCAATGATCCTTCACAACTGCCATGGCCTTTGTTTGCTGTTCTTCGGCCCCTCTTCCGGGAGCTCTGCGTGGAAACGTTTTTTCATCAGCCGGGTGCGAAAAATGTATCCGAGATTGTGAGAGGCAGGGGCATCTTTCCCAGAGAGGACCTGCCGGAGGGCAAGGGATGGCAAGGGCATCCACCTAAGAACCTATTTTTTTCTGGGTGAATCATCTCCCCAAAAAAGGTAAACGACTCCCTTAGAAACCCAAAATGGTCTGGGTGAATTCTAATAAATCCACCAGCCTGAAACTTTTTTGGTGGTTGGGGGGCTATTCCCCACATCAACCACCATTTGGGGTGAATTCGGTCGTGTGAGGTCGTTATAATTCACCCAGATTTTTGCTGGGGGGGATGTGAGCCGCTGCAGTCAAAGGCTAGCATGTCGGGAACGAGTGGCTTAGGGCAAAAGTAACGCAATGCCTGTTTAGTTCACTTGCAAAAGAGTGATGATTCTACATGGATTCCTTTTGGAGGCACAAATCGAGTTTCCCAACAAAGGCTAATTCAGGTCGTGTTGTTTTCGCAACTGAGATCAAGGAACCTTCCCACTGTCGCAACCAAGCCTAGGCTGAGATGCCCAGTGGCCATGAGAAAACTTTCTTTGTTTGAGTTTAGAGGGGAACTCTTCCCCCAAAAAAAATGCTTTCAACAACTTGCCGGTGCGCAGGGGAATGTGGGAATGATTCTTATAAACCATCCAACTGGTGGCTTCCTCTGAGGGAATCCCCTTCCGGTTGATTCCCTCATTCCCTACGTATCGCACCAAGAAAGGCTAGGGTTGCCAATTTCAACCGCTCCAAAGGTGATGATTCCCACTGACCCCAGAAGAAAAATGTGAGCTTTCCTTTTCGGCTGAGTGCCTTGTCCACGGCAACCTGGCCCAAGAGCTTTCCCGTCTCGAGGCTCCACACCTGTGACCCAAAGGGATTGAACTTGTGTGTGTTGTTTCATTATTGTTTGTTGTTTGTTTGGTTTTTTTTGGGAGGGGAGGGGGGCTTGCGTTCTTTTTTGTACTTTTTTATAGGTTTTTTTGGGAGGCCTTGCGTTTTTTGGTTAGAAGGGGGGCGGGACAGGGCTTTTGTGTGCGTGTTGTTGTTTGTTTTTTGGGGAGGGCTTGGGGAGGGACGGGAAACCATTTCTGGTTGTTGGCCCAAACACTGGGCAAAGACCAACATGAGTTTTTAACTTTTGGGGGGGGGCAGGGGGGGGGGACCATTTTTGGAAACAAAGAAAAGAGATTTGGGACAAACAGAAGGGTAGCATTTCTTTCGGGAGTCAACCATGTTTGGTTGGGTAGAGAAAGAGGAGGAATTTTGCGGAAGTTCCATTAATTTGATGTTGTTCGCGAAAAGGGGAACACGTGCAATACTATTGATCCCATGTGTAAACAGGTGCTGCCGAACGGATGACTGCACCTGCATGGAGACCTTTCAGTCGAACAAAGAACCCTTTGAAAGGCCCTCAGGTGCCATTGACCCATGACATGTGCACTCTTTTACCACATTTGAAAGTGTACCTTAGTTAAAGTCAAGGGCAGCCAAAAGGATTCATCAATGATGGGCCTCGCCACCTTAGCAACTTCAATATGAGTGGGTGCAGCACTGATTCAGTTGCTGAAACCGGAATCATAGCGCCATGTCCCCCCTCTCTGTGTCTTGCTGGTACCAAACTTCAATTTCGCGGGAGCAAAATTGCGGCGGAGTTTGCCCTGCAACTTGCGTGAACCGAGCCATGCGCGACTCACAGGCAGTTCCAAGATGTTCTGTAAAACTTCGTTGGGGAGCCTCGCTGGGAGTTTTTTTTGTTTTGTATTTTTTTGTCCGGTTCTTGAGACTTTTGGGGATCCGCAGACTGGCCATGCAGCAAAACAACGTGGCCGGCAAGCGACAGGGAAGTGATGACGCCGGAATGGGGCGAGTACTATATTACGAGAACAAGTTCGGAAGAAAAGCTTCCTGAACCGAACTCTCAGACGGGTTCTCAGAACCTTGCCGGCGGTGATGCGAGTCCGATTCTTCAAACAGAGGCAAAGATCCCAGAGTCCCACCGGCACGGCTTGACTCAATTGAATGCAACCCCCCAGCCCTGGATGGAAAGGCGTGCTCAAGAGCCAACTAGATCTTCGGCCAAGCAACATGAATGATTTCAGGGAAACTTTTCAGCTCAAATTTCAGCTAATTGGGAGGATCTAGGTAATAGTTGTTCCCCGCTAACCTGAGAGGCATATTCCTCTTGCGTGCTCTCTCAAGCGCCTGATGCATCTTTGGCCTTACGCCATCTGCTGTGGTGTGACGCAAACATCGACGAGGACGCTTACTTCAACCTAAAGCGTGGCACATTTGCCCCACGCTCGTTTGACGTCAAAACAACAGGGGTCGGCAAATAATTGGTTGCTGGGCCTCGCGCAAGAATTGGCCAACAGCGGGAAAACACAAATTGGGCCATCTGAATCATCGAGTGCAAAATTGTAGGATCAATGCAACAGTTGTGCCTTAAAACCTTAAACGAACAAAAAGCAAGCACAAAAACAACATAGAGCCCCACAACACACCCAGCACCCTCCAAGAGTTGTCAACTGGTACCCAAATGGTAACCACACAAGGGCACTTTAGGTACAAATGGACCACTTGGAGGGTGCTGTGCTGCCGCTGGTGGCATACCTCCGGCCTTCACCACCTGATCCTCCCCCGAGGTGGCCGCATACTCCGGCGACAGGCCTCGGTTGCGCAGCTTTGTCGAAGGGTTCCCTGCACCAGAAGCTTTAGGCCTAGGGGGGATAATGCGCATATATATATATATAGATTGCCAAAGGAACAACCCTTGCTTTTTTGGGGAGACATCATACATATTTATATATATATATATGTTGATTTGTTTGAAGATATACATTGATTATATATATATAGGGATCCGAGCGTTGAACCTAGGGGACACCGCTTTTATCTTTAGAATGGCCATGACGTTGAAGCGCTTGAGCATTCCGACATGCAAGGGCAACTGGAACCTATGGGGCCCCAGCTGCGCATGCAGGTACAAGTAAGTGACGAATCCAAGGAACAACTAAATGAGTTAAACGCGGAAAACAAGTACATGAGTAAATCACAGTAAATTAAGTAATAGTGATTTGATCAACAAATTAAACAACACGCATACGCATAAGTTCAATGAACAAGCAAATAAACAAGTATACAAGCACAATCATCAGTTTGAATCTTGAGAAGCGTGACTCACTGGAACTTTGTTTCCAGCTGCACCTCAAAAAAGCGTGACTTTTGAGCATAAGAGTACGCGCAGTACATCTTTGGCAGCCTCAATGTTGCTTCAGCAGCTCTGATATCGTTTTTGTGTATTCTCATCGTTTTGCAGGGGAAATCAGCAAACCTTCAACTTTGGGAAAACAAATTCATTCCTACGTATACAGTATCAAAATTGATATAATTGAAATAGAAATCCAAATCGATTATCAAGGTGCTCCATGTCCTTGCGCAGTTCCATTTATACTCTAATTCCATTCTATTTCAAACAGGATTCCAATTACATTCTAACCCAATCTGGTAAAGTAACATATGGAAAGCAATTCCAATCGACACTTTGCTTCAATTGGCAAATCCAACTTCAAGTTTCTCCATAAGAACTAGTGAAAACCACATATGAGAAGAACTTCCAGATTGAAGTGCTGCATGAAATTCAACTGCAGCTTGCATTTCCTGATGCATTCCGGAGAAACAAATGCAAATAAAGGCTATTGGAATTGCCAGATGGAATTGACACCAACTTCAATTTCAAAGGGTCAATTGTTCTCATTTGATTTCCATGCTCATGGAATCTTCGGAGGGGCTATGGGGGGGGGGGAGGGGGGGGCCATCCCCAGGATAACTCAAGGATAAGCCGCTTAATAAGGCCTTAATAAGGACTTAATCAGGGATAGCCCCCCCTCCCCATAGCCCCCCTTGGGGGTCCATGACATGTCATTTTAAGTAAGCACAAACTCAAATCAACAGGAAAGAGTTTCAATCAACATGGAATCGCTTCGTTGGGCCTGCGGCACCATGGTACTTTCCAGCTTTCGTCCCTCCAGAAAAGGTCAAACTGGGCAGTGTATGCCATTTTCGCCGTCAAACCTGAGGGTCAAACTGGTCACTAGGTCAAACAAGAAGGGCCTCTGTGAAGAAACAAGTTGTTGGACAAACTGAACATGTTTTTTGGGGGCTGGATTCAAGACTCAACATGCAAGATTGCACAGAAACGTTTCTTGAGAAGCTTGCTTGCATGAAATTCTGAAAGCTCATGGACAAGGCCGCGACTCTTGCGCAACATTTTGTGCATGCCCATCATTCCCACAGAACCACTACCCTCACAAGGGTTGATGGCTCACTTGGACTTGCGAATGCTCTCCCGGAGTCCGGGGAGTCGGGATGTGCAACATGGTCAGTGGCTTACTTGCACATGGGAACTCAAAGTACCCCCAACACAACAAAAGATCAACTTATCTGCAAGAGAACCATTTCTGGGAGCTGACCCCTTTCACAAGGTGCACACTTGGGGAGGCGAAGGTTCTTCCTAAGAAGCCGCTTTTCAAGATTGTGTTCATTCGAGGCTTCGCAGAATCCATTCGGCTTCTCTCCAACCTGGGCCCAAATCTGTGGTACTGAAAACCATGAGTTCTCTGGGCTGTCCGCTTTTAGTTTTCTTGCAAACAGTGAATAACTTTTAGTGGGTTACAAAATGGACAACAAAACCAACAAAAAATACAAAAGTTCAAGGAAGTGGACGGAGCCGATTCTGGCCCCTTTTCGTCCGTCTCCCCCAGCCATACAGCCACACCCCATCCGAGCCGCAGATGCCGCCGCGCCCGATCATGGCTCCGTGCTGGAGGGAATGCACATCTGGGCAAGCAATTGCCGCCCCCCACCCCCCCTCCCACGCAAAAAGGTCCGGCAATTTTTTTTGTGACTGATGGCGCGAAACAGACGTTTTCTTGCCCATTTGGAGCCCAAGACCTCATTTGAGGGCCTCGTAGTTAGGGTCCAAGGGGCTCCGGGTGGGTCAGATTTGTGACAAAGGGGTATGATTTCTAATCGGGCACCCTTTGGTGGATATTGTTGCGGGGCATTATGTCGGGCCATGCTTGAGAGTATTTCCCATACCCTCGTTCCAACAATCATGGAAGAGGACAAAGGGCGTTCCCGAAAGGGAGATAGTCTTCAACCCCCCCCCAACAGCTTCCCTGATTTTCGGTAGAGGGTAACGTTGATACTCGGAAAGCACACGGTTGCAACCAAAAGTTCCAGTATGAGGCTCCAGCGAAGCTGCGGCCAAGAAGCATGTGCCTTGGTAGTCAAAGACATTGGCCACCTGCAGCCTCTTGTCCTGCAACTGGACCGCCCGCAATTGTTGCGTCGCAGTGGACATGGGTACCTTTGATTTCCCCTTTGGAAACATCCAAACGGGGGACTCTTCTCAGTTCCTATAGACTGTTATTTGCAGACCAAAATGGCTTGGAGAAGTTCCGAGAGGTCCTGTTCACATTTTTCTTCAAACCATCCGAACCCCTATGAGTCACACACCCCTCGTCCTTCTCGTCGCAGGTCATTGAGAAAGGCCGGGCAGACCTAGGACGACTGCGACGTACGATGGCCAGAATTAAGACCTGCCCAAAGGAGAGCCCCCCTACAACATCCTGTGTGGGTTTGCGCTGTAGTCTTTTGGGGTAGAGACAACTGTGTGTTCCTTTTGGTGTCCCTCAACACCAAACTTTAAAAAGGGTACCAAAGACAAACCCACACGCCCGCAAAGGACAAGCCCCTACTACTTCAAGGCTAACATGGCCAAGTGCATTGGCTCTTGCTAACATCCTGTTGGGCCGCGGCCTCAATTGACGCAGCGCATGGAACGCGCATGGCTTCATGGCGGCGGACATGCTTGAAGCGGCAACACAGAGCCAACATCATATCCGTAACTCAGCTAGTTCCTCCAGTAGAGAGGTTAGAATAAGTTGGTACCAACTTTCTCTGTATTCTATTTTAGTAGTTTGGAACCCTCCCAACCGAAGAAGGGGTGAGAAAGGGCACTAGTGGGGGACCTAGTCAGGCAAAACAGCGCATGAAGGCCGTGCGGATGCCTGAAGGCCAGGCTTCCTAGACTCTTCAAAGCACCACATTGGTGCTACTGGTACCTTAATCGCGAACGGTGCATCCTTTACGCCGCATAAGGATTAGTGCCAAAATGGGAGGATTGCCCAGCTCCACTGGGCAGCTCCCCTCAGCAGCTGATGGGAGTAGAATTGATGCCACTCCCACAGCGAGGGAGGAATCCTCCCACCTCACCGGATGCCCTCCCGGCATCATGGGTGAGGAAGGAAAGTAGCGAAGATCAGCTTGATCAATTCGCTTTCGACTGAGGGGAAGACCCGGTTCTCAGTCGGAAATTGCGGGTCCGGATGAGTAAGTTCATCCGCCCATGTGTTAAAGTCGCGCTTCACATGCGACGGTCCTAACATGACCTGGTGGTCATGCAGTGTTAACACAATTTCCATGAGGATGGCCGCATTGGGCATCCTGCGAGTGGAATCGTTAAGCAGGGAGAAAACGTTTCCCTGGTTATCACTAGCAACCAGAATCCTAGTGTGAGAACCGAGCCGGCTGCACAAAGCAGAACAGCCCTCACCAAAAGGAGGAGGCCGAAGAGCTCCAAGGCCGCTATCGCCCGCTGCGGGTCCCCAGTAGTGAAGGCCCACGGCTCGCCCTCCGGTGTGATTCTGTGTTGGAACCACTTCACTCGGGACTTGTCGGGGTTGGGCACGTCCGAGCACCAACCACCAACCCATGCATGGTCCGCCTGTTTGCCAGCTCCCGCATCAGATGCCCCCGTCCATGGAAGTGTGGGAGCAAATGGAGATGCCAGTGGGAACCTCTGGTTGAAGAGCTTCCCCAGAAGGATGGCCAGAGCACGAACCAGCTTCGGTGGCCTGCCCGAAGTGGTGCAGGCCTTCTTCCAGCTCCAAAAGGGCTGGAGGAAAGGTTTCGTCAATGGACACGCCGAAGTAGCCCATTGAATCCGGCCCAGGGCTTGTTCCACCTCCTTGCTGGTAAAGATGTCCCCCTGGGCCAGCCGTTTGAGAGTGGCCAGGATTATGACGTGCTTGACTGGAGCCAGCAGCACACAGGGCGTGATTGGGTCCACCACGAATCCCAACCAGGTATTGACCGGGGAGAGCGCCGTCTTCTTCCAAGAAAGCGGGACTCCCAGCGCCAGAAGAGTGGCCAGGATGGCTGTGGCGTCCCAGTCCGCCCTGCTGCATCTGAGGACCCAGCAGTAGTCGTCCACAAAACTAAGTGCCAGTCCACCTGAGGGAAGATGTAGTACAAGAGTCTGAGCACCAAGGATGCCTTTCTTCCCCAGTACAGTTGTGCCGAGGCCATGCCGTACGTGCCCACTCTATTGACCCACCACCGGTTCTGGATGCAGGCCACCTGGTATTTCCAGTCTTTCTGGAGCACTTTTATGCGCCTGTGGGCCTTGGTGACATCCGCCTTGAGGATGATGAAGGTTTCCCCCTGTTTCGGCGGCTGCCACGTCAGGGGTTCCCCCCTGCTCCCCCCAGGCGTTCCGTGCCTGGGGGGGTTGGGGGGAATGGGGCCCTCCGATCAGGGCCCTCGGCACCTGGGAGTGGCCCCTTTTCTGAGGGTGTTGACCGCGGAGAGACGTCCGCCTGAGGTCTCCATCATCCGCCTGCCCCTATCAGGGCCCTCGGCACCTGGGGGCAGGTTGGTGCTGTGGGGTCCCTCTCACAGCCCTCGGCACCTGGGGACTGCCCCTGCACCGACTGGCGAACATCCCGAGGTTCCTCATCAGTGCCCGAGGATGGGGCTCGGAGTAGATGAGGATGGTCCGCCGCTGTCCTGAGCCAATGGATGGCATGGAGGCAGTCTCCAACCATCGGTGCGGTGGTCTTCTCCTCCGTGTGAGCCTGGATGTGTGCGTTTGCTCCCCCTTTTGAGCCATCATAGATCGTCCTGATCTTGTCCGACTCATCAATCCCTGCAAGGGGGCCCGGGCAAAGTTCCTCCGGTTTGCAGCGGCACCTCTCTGCCGCCTCGGAGCGAGTGAAGGGCCCGTCCACCATGTCCAAGGCTCGTTCCTCGTAAAAGGTTGATTCGATTTCCTTGGCAAAGAGTTCAGCCGTTGGGTAGTTACCATGAGCCACTGGCGGGGGGGGATCTTCCCCCAGCCAGGCTTCTCCCTTCAGCTCCTCCTTAGTGGGCCAAACTCCCAGGGAGGTCAAGGTACCCAAGGGGACCCCCTCTTTCAGTGTTAGGGGGAATTCCCAATCAGGGTCACCTGAAAGGGATGCCAAGTGCGACACTAAGTCCAGGAGGAAGGGTTGTCCTGGGCATCGTTCATGGAGGTGCCTCGGTCCTAGGATAGCCCGCAGCTCTTCGAGGTCGGCTTCCTGGAAGGGGTGTGTGGTGGCACCTGATGCCAGGGACATTCGGACCTTGTCAATCCAGGGCCGGGTAAGGGTCATGATCAGGGCGCCCAAAGTAGCCAATGGGGAAATTCTCCGAAAAGGGGGGTTGAGCCTCCCTGGGGAAGGTTTTCCCCCCCCATCCCTCAGGGGGCGTGAGCGGAAACCCAATTGGACAATCGCCACCCGGTCAGTGAGGTGTGGGACCCTGAAAGCGGGCAGGCATTCGGGGCGGTCCAGGACCTGGTCCCCCTGTCCCTCCTTCCCCAGTTGTTCCGCATCTCCGGCCATCGGGGGCATGGGAGATGGGAAGTCTGGGTTCATTGTTCCACGAGGGCTTACGGTGTCTGCCTCAGGGTGGAACTGCCCGTGCAGGCGGGGCTTCGGGGCGTTCTTGCCTCCGGGCTTTGAGCCCTGGTGTGATGAGGAGGGACCGCCTCCTTGACTGGGCCCCCGTTTTCCCCGGGGGGAATGGCCTTCCGGGGGGTCCGACCCCCGCCCCTTAGGTGGTTCCTTGGGGTTTCCCGGAAATTGTGAGGGGATCCGGATGTGCCCCGGCGCTGCGAGTGACACAGCGATGGCTTTGGCCAGGCCTGCCATCATATCCCAAGGGTATCTGCTAAGAGTCGAGGACTCGTTGGTGCCCACATGTGACTGATGCGTGCACCGCATTTGATCCCAGTCCTGGATCGGGAGATCCGTGGCCAGCGTAGTGGCCTTCTTGACCAGCTGGCCCAGGCGGCACTGGTCGAAGGAGATTGCTGTCAAGGAGTTCTCCTCCATCCAAAGCTGCCCCTCCTCTGTGATCCAGAAGGATGAGCATTCCTTGGCTTTGGGCAGCGAGCTGCTCACCACTGGGTCCTCCGGGTGTTCCAGGAAGGACCTGGGCCCTGGCAGAGAAACCGCCGCTCGTGAGGCCCTTGCCAGGCTGGTGATGTACATCTGTCTCAGAATGAGGATGCTGTCATCATCAAGTTGAGTCTGGGCGGCCTGGTCCAGGTGTGGAAGGCCCCAAGTGTCTCTGGAGTGCGCCCTCGCACCGGGGTGGGAGCCCCCGGTTTTGGTATGTGGCGCAGGATGGACCATGTCCTGCAGTTGGGTCCTCCTCCAATGAAGACCACTCGGCCCTGCTTTGCTGCCGTGCAAAGAGCTCCATACAGCTCGGGTTGGAGCATATCGTGGTCCCCCTTGGGTCCAGACCGTAGGATGTCTACCGCCACCACCATGCTGGAAAGGTGTGGGTAGTTGGCATGAAGACAGCTGTCCAAGGAAGTAGGGTCTCCTTGCCTGCATAGAGCAGGACAATGATGGGCCCACTGGATGGAACTTTGGGCGATGTGCCCTGTGTCCATCTCACCGCTGTACCAGACGCTCAGGGATGTTCTCCATCCACGGGAAGATGTCCAATCCCGGTGACGGCTCCGTTGGACTTGTCAGGGGGGTAGCTGAAAGGCGTTGGCCCCCTTCATTCAGCCCCACCGAGCTCTTGTGGAAAACCACCGGGTCCTGCTTGATGATGTTGGGCGCCGGAAGTGGGATCGGCTGCTTCCTGGGAGTGTCCCTTGGCGTTGCGGTGTGCTGCCAGTCATCCGGCACTCGGGCCTTCTGGGTGCGGCCCCCCGTGTCAGGGCCCTCGGCACCTGCGGGGAACCGTCCCGTCGGCTCGGGACTGAGGCGCCGCCGTTGTGCCGGTTGTGTGGCTGTTCTGATCACGGCGAGGGCGTTGTACACGCTGGTTCTGCCGCCCCCATCCTTGTTCCGCCGAGGATGGCCGCCACCTGGCCTGTCCCCCCCCTGTGTCAGGGCCCTCGGCACCTGCAGGAGGGGGCTTTGCCTGCTTGGGGCGTTTGCGCCCCTTCTCGCCCCCCCGGGCCTTATCAGGGCCCGGGGGTAGGGGTCAGCGCCCCTAGTCAACCCGGGCAGTCCTGCGGGAGGTGGTCCCCCAGGCAGATGCGGCCCATTGCCAGGATGAGGTTGCACTTGTGGGTGCGGCCGCAGTTGCCCGGGCAGCGCCCGCGCATCCAGTTGTTACAGAACTGGTTCCCTTTCGGGTCGGTGGCTGCCTGCTTGCTACCGCCCCGGGACGCCTGATTGTTCAGGTGGGGGGGCTTACCCTTCCCTTTGTTCCCAGGCTTGCCCTTGGGC